CAAAGAGAATTACAAAAAAAAAACAATTTTGACAGCAGTTTTTAGTGATTACTAGCGATATTTTCCCGTTTAAAATTAGTGCGATATATGGTGAAAGTCGGGTATTCAAGGGACACCTTGTATTATTCCAGGGCATACGGGGGTGCACGACCTAGTTCCGCTTGCGCGTGTTATATAGGTCATAGACACCATTCGTTGATCCAGAAAGGAACATTACAATGCGAATTATGTCGAGCAACACACATTTCCTTCTTGCAATAACCTCTCAGATTTATTGTCACGAATAAATGGAAATGACTTTCATCACCACCTGCACTAAAAACACCGAAAATGCATTTTATGCATTTAATGCATTTAATGCATTTCGAAGAATAAAATCGATCTGCCTTCATTTACAATTTTGATGGATGCCGAGTGTATGAGGAGAAGAGGAATCTTAAGATTTCTTCATTCCTTATTACTTTTCTTTTTGGTGTAGGTCCAAATTTACCATTTTGGAATTTTGATGTTGGCTAATGCTGACTAATCGTTGGGTATACTGCGTCAGTGTTTTACATTTTCCAGGATAGTCTCTTCCTGACAATTTGTCATCGTATTTTAGGAAATTTACAATAGTTTCGGAAATTGTTGATGATTTCCCTGATGAAAGTAGTTTGATTCACTTTTGGAAGGATTGGTAAACGATGGTCCACAATCATCAATAATGTTCCGTTAGTTCTAGCCTAGAGTTAATTCACGGCAAACCTCGAAAATAGTCCTAAAAATATTTTTCTAATCCTTTGTTTTTGATGCCTGACATTTTCCAGTTCTTCCAGTATTTTTAAGAGATTGAAGACACACCCTGCTGGAATTCTCCACTTGAAAAGATTCCCCAAAAGATAACCAGAAGATAATGAAAACTTTTACCCAAATTCTATCGGATTTGGAACTTTAGAATTTCCATGGACTTGCGATTGAAATTGGAACGATTAGGAAACTTGGCATCAGAAAATCTTTTGTGTTACGTACGGTATCTTTCGATCCACCCATGTTTCCGACCACTTTGGTGACCTTTGAGGTAAAAGTCTTCTAGTTAGACATCTTAGATTGTAATTGTGAATGAAGGTTCATCTGTAGATGTTAGTTACATGAAAGTTCTGGAAGCATTGTTGGATCCTACTCCCAGAACTTCTAGGAACCTTGGGTCCAAATTAACCTCCTTTAGGCAGTTTACCCCAAAAAGTAACACAATGGTACCAATGGTACCCTAAAAGTACCATAATGAATCATTTCAACTATTTTTTTGATGATTCTGGCGCAACTATTTTTGGTACCCCAACAGTAATTGGGTATAGGTTCAATGTGGTAATAAGTAGGTTTCAATAGGCTAACTAATAGTGCAAAATAAATTAATTGAGGTTGGTGGAATTAGCCCTTAATATTAAACATTAAATTACCAAATTAAACTACGTTAATTTGGTATCATTTTTAAATTTTAACTTTGAAACTTAACCTTTAACATTTGCTGACTTTCCTCCTTAATCTTACGTAATATGTTTGCTTCCTCTGCTCTCAACTCATAGCGAACGTTGAAGATCTTCGTATTCTGATCCGAAAGTATCAAACTAATTACACTAATGCCACTACTGACACTTAAAAGTCTCGATGAGAGTGGAGAGCCTCGTCTTAGATTCTCCATCCCTCCCACAATGTGATCTGAGGTGCTACAGCTTCCTCGCAATCCATGAGCTCTTCAGCACTAATTATAAGACTAATTTCTTGCTCCCGAGGTCGTTGCAAACAAAAATATCATCAAGATTAAAAAATTCAAAATGGTAGATCCAAAGTGGTAATCAAATTTCCAAATCGATCATAAATTCGGTTTTAACTTACCACCCTAACTCTGAAATCAAATCTAATGGCAGATTTCTTGTCGATGCTTTTGTAACACTAACAAGATCTAAAAAAAAAATAAGAAAAAAATACTTCGACGGGATTTGAACGCAATACTCTTCTGTCACAATCGAACGATTTAGCTCCCAGGCTAAGGACAAGGAACTAAAAATTCTACCCACTAAAAATTACAAAATTCTAAAATAAATTTTGTAATATGTATACATATTACAAAATTTATTTTAGAATTTTGTAATTTTTAGTTTAATGGGTAAAATTTTTATACGAAACTAAATGTTTAATTTTAAAATAAACAAATTAATATTTCTGGCAATAAAAAAAAATAAAAATAGTTGAGATGGTTGACTTTGGAAATTATTATCGAAAATTTGTTTCGTAGAGTAATTTCGTTTTGAAGGACATCATCTCTCGTTTCCGCTGGAATGTCGAATAACGCGCGAGAATATATGAGTTTCGCGTTTTATGTACACTTTGAGATACGAGCAGCGATTGACGAAGTGGAAAGATTTCGGAGTGCGGCGGATATCGATTATTTAAATGCACAGATGTACAGATAAATGGCATTTATAACAGAAAGCTTGCAAAATGAAATATATTTAAAGGTCTTATATATATTTTTGCTTCAACACACGAGATTCATGGTTATGTTCGACAAAATTAATCCAAGCATTCGCTAAATTCTTCTTCTACCAGCTGAACTAAAAATCCAACTATCCGAATGTTAAAAAATTCGCCATTTTCAAAATTTATTACTTGAGGGAAATTAATTATCTTTATAAATTCTAATTTCGTTAGTTTCTTATTTGTTTTTATAAATTCGCATTTCTTTTAATTCGTTTTTTTGTAAATGCACTTTTTATAAATGCTCTTTTAATAATGATATCATGACTTTTGAAAAGTATAATGTTTTGCACTGTTTTGAAAAAATAGAGTTTTTTTTTAAAAAGTGGGGGTAAAGACCCAAAAAAAATTTTTTCTCTTATTTTCGACATGGGAGTGGTTTTCAATGTATTTTTACCCTCTGAACCCTCTTTAACCCTTTGAACGATCTTAAAATTGCCTAGCAAGTCGGGATTTTAAAAAAAGTAGGGGTAGAGACCCAAAAAAAAGTTTTTAAACGATTTTTAGTATATTTCTTCTCTTTAACCTAACATGAATTTCTATAAAAATGAAACTTGAAAAGCGCACTTTAAAATTCACATTCACTATTTCGAAAAAATAGAGGATTTTGAAAAAAGTGGGGTTAAGACCCAAAAAAAATTTTTTTTCTTATTTTCGACATGGGAGTGGTTTTTAATGTATTTTTGCCTTCTAAACACGATCCCGGATCTTAAAATTGCCTAGCAAGTCGGGATTTTGGAAAAAGTGAGGGTAAAGACCCAAAAAACGTGTTTTCAAAAATTTTTTTCTCTTTAACCTAACAAGGTAGAGACTTTTATGGGGTTTTAATTTAAAGTTTGAAACGTGAACTTTAAGTTGAATGTTGCGAAGATAAAAAAATAGAGGATTTTGAAAAAAGTAGGGGTAATAACCCCAAAAAAATTTTTTTCTTTATTTTCGTCATGGGAGTGGTTTTTAATGTATTTTTGCCCTCTGAACACGATCCCAGGTCCCAAAATGGGCTATCACGTCAGAATTTTGAGAAAAGTGAGGGTAAAGACTAAAAAAGTGTGTATTTTGGAAGTTTTGAATATATTTTTTTTATTTTTCCACTTTTTTCAATTAAAATTTTAACTGATTCAAATTTAGAGAAAAAGCAGTATTTTTTTGACTTCATTAAAATTTCATTAGTAGAAATTTAAATTAATTTCAGTGATTAATTAATTTTTTTTTGCTAAAAACAGTTTATATTAATAAATTATAAATTAATAGAATAAAATAATAACTATCAAAATTACAGGAACATTTTTCCGTTACAAAAAATAATTAAAAACAGATTTTTTATTGAAAAAAGTATTAAAGAGAACTTATTTAATAATTAATATTTATTTCATTAAAATTCAAGTAGTTTTTTACTCTCTCTCTCTTAGTTAGAAAAAACTTTTTTCGAATTTATTACAAAAAAACACCCTTTTCTTTTTTTTAATTTAAAAAAAAATCGATTGTTTTAGTTAAGTTTTGACCTTGAAAGTTTAATGACAATGATGAAACTTTTGAAGAGTAAAAAAAAACAAGATTTTTTCGATTTTGAATTGCGCGAGTCTCATGCTTGTCTATAGATTTCGAGTGATTCGAAGAAAAGCTCTTAGACACCCGTTAGCGAGATACTCATGGGGTAGATCACGCATTATGCGCACGCGCCTTCCTCACCAGCGTTACGAACTCCCCGCGATTAGGATTCGTCGAGTTTTAGTCTTTCCTTTAAGCTTCTTCGGGTAGGTCGTGTGTGTGTATGTGTTGCTCAAAATTCGAAAAAAAAAATTTAAAAAAAAACACCGATATGCCTCATATTTTGTTTTACGAAGCGAAACTTTGACATGATTTTCGATATCATGGAATTTGTGCGAAATTTTTTGAAATGTACGGTTGTGATTTTCTCTCGTTTTTAAACTCGAGAACCGCGAACGCTAAGCGCTCAATGGGATTCAACGAATTGCTTTTAATATGTTTAGAGTTTTTAACATGTAGGTGTTGATTTTGAAGGGAATTTCAAAACTTTTAAATATTTCGATGTTTTTAAAATTTACTGGAAAATTATATGATAATAATTTTAATTAGTTAATTCATTTTTGAATTAATAATTCAAATTGGTTTAAATTACTTTTTTAATTTGCGAAATTAATTAGACTTTCGAAACAATTTCAATCACGTTTTTGGAAGATTTTTTGCAACCCTTTTGTTCCGAGATATCTTATTTTTAAAATTCGGCAAAAAGCGCTCTTGGCGCGGTAGCCGAACTTTACGAAAAAGTTAATTTACATTTTTTTCCATTCATTTGACTTTTTAAAAATTTTTCGACTTGTTTTCTAAAGATAAATAAGTGGATTATTAAAATTATTGAAAAATGTCAAATTCAAAAAAAGAATTTTGATTAAAAGAACATTTTTTAATTATAAAAATAATAATTGTAATATTCAGGTTAATTCTCGATGTTTTCAACATGAGAACAACATTGCGGCGGATTATTCGCAACTTTTTACCATTCCAGCTTGAAAGAGTGCGACGGAGAGACATGAAATTTGTTTTTAATTTTCTACTACCGTCAATGCTCATTAATTAATTAATTAATTAATAGAAAATCAACAAAAAAATGGTGTGATTCAATTGGAAATGAAATAAAGTTCCTATGAACTATAAGTGCGTGTAAAAAGAAATTATTTTCTAAAAGTGATAAAGAAAAGAAAAAAATGATAAAACGAAAATTTTTGAAGGGTTCCCCCTCTTTGACTATACCCTGTAAAAAAATGGAGACCAAAAGTTTTTGCCATTCGAGGTTTGTTTCTTTCAATTATATTTTCCACTTATCTAATAAAAATATAATAATTTCTATCGAATTCGAAATTAACTGCAAATTTCTATTTTCGGAAACTTTTTTTTTAACAAAATAATTATTTGTAGATATCGAATCATAATTATAATATAAAGAAAAAAAATTATATTGTTCATTTCAATAATTTCTTAAGTAATAGAAGATTTTAATGAAACAAGAAAATAAAAATAATAAAATAAAGGAATTTCTCAACTGGATTTTTGAGATAAAAATTATTTTAGTAAATGTAAACTTTTAGTAAAGTGAAGAAGGTAAATAAAAAAGTAAATGAAGTAAAATTAATAAAAACGTAAATTTGAGGTAAACAAAAAGTTGGATCTTATTTTTAAATATGTAAATAAATATTTAAAAGTAAAATCCAACTTTTTGTTTACCTTAAATTTACTTTTTACTTAATTTACTTTTTTATTTACTTTTTTCATTTTACTAAAAGTTTACATTTACTAAACAATTTTTTATATGAAAAATTATTTTTAAATATGTAATTAAATATTTAAAAATAAAATCCAAGTTTTTGTTTACCTTAAATTTAAAGAAAGAATTTAAAAATTTTACTTAAAATTTTACTAGTAAATTAGTAAAAATTACTATTTATTAGTAAAATTTACTAATTTATTTAAATTTTACTAGGAAATTAGTAGAAATCACTATTTATTAGTAAAATTTACTAATTGAAAAGCAAAATGTCAGTCACTAATTCAAATTAGTAAACATTTTAACTAATTCCAATTTAGAGAGTAAATTACTTAATAAAGTAGTGATACATTTATAATTATCTCTTGTTTACTTAATTACAATAATATAATAACAATTGAAAATAATTAAAATAATTACAAATATAGATAAGAAATTTTTCAAATGAACGATCACTCAAAGTTAATGTAAATATAAGAAATATGAAAATTAAAAACAGAAATATAATAAATTGTATTTGGTTAGAGAGTGGATATCAGAGGCTTTTGTTAATTTGCTTGCAGAATAATAGGATGTTGGAAGGTGGCGGTGCAGTTTGGTTCCTAGTTGAGCTGCATGTTTTTGTAAAATTCTTGTACTAACTTTGCACTCATTTGAACTTCACCGCATTGCCGAGTCCTGCACTATAATCCATGACACATTTAACACATGGCCCGTCTGGAGAGTAAGTGTTGTTTTTTTAAAAATGGTAAAACTTTCGAAACCAATTTTTCCACTCGATGTGTATATAGTTAATCTTGCAAAAAGAAAAATAATTTATCCACTTGGCAAAAAAAGAAAGAAAAAAATACCCGACACAAATATTATTATAAGGAGGCACTTAATTTTACATAAAGATATTCAATTCTCCCAAGGAAAATAAATCCAAAAATACCCATACTGAAATTTTAAAACAATGTAGCGAAATAAGAACTTCTGCTGATGCTAACAACCTAAATTTTAATTGGTCAAATTTTTTTTGGTCCTTTCCCTTAACCAAATAATTTTGAGATTCCTCTTCTGGGTACCTTTCCTCTAAGAGAGTACTTTACTCTTTGGGGTACCCAGAAGAGGAATTTTCCCCTTGACATGAATTAAAGTTTTATTAAAAGAAATTGGACATTTGGAATTAATTTTCGCTTTGGTTTTTCAGTTCCAAGCATTGTGGTGCATAAGGGCAGTAGGTCGCAGAGTCGACCGGAGAGTCCGACGGTGGTGGTGTGCGGAGGAGGAATGCCATCGTTGTCATCCTCGAAGCAGAGCCTCGTCGTCGGTGCCTCCACGTCCTTTTCGAACACAGATTCGGATATGATAGACGGAAATGCAAATCCTCCGAATGAAACCACAACTTCGAATCCTCAACATCGTTCGACTCCTCCGGATAAAGATACCGACAAGAACTATCGCAATCGAGTAAGAATTCATCTCCTACCCTCGACACTAAAATCCAACTAAACAAATTATTCGCATCTTCTTTTAAAAATCGACATTGAACTCTTTGCAGTCTAACACAAAAGTGAAGCTGCTAGTCAGAAGTCATGCGATGAGGGAGTCAACGTCACCACCCCGAGAGCCTCACAACGGCTCCTCGCCGAACAGTTTGTCACCAAATTCCAATCCCAATTCCAAGCAACTCAACAATAACGAGCCAATGTTTAACAGCAATTTCTCACAGAATCAGAATCCGAAGCAAATGCGAAACTCAGCCACTTCCCCAACTTGTCGCACTCCATCACGAAATGGTACAAACTTTGATTTATTTCTCTCGCATAACAAAACAGAAATTTAGACACCCATTTTTTTACAGGTCCTTCTAGTCCCTCACAAGTCCACTCCCCAAAAAATAACGGCGTATCCTCAACGAACGGCAAGGAAAATCAGAATCATCGATCAAAATCGAATAATTCAAATTCCAAGTGTAATAACTGCGTGAAAAACAATCAAAACGATAGACCTGGTCTACTGCAAACGCCGATCTCGCCTTCGAAATCAAATCAGAGCGCACAACATACGCAAAAAAGTGGCAACCAGTCGCAAAATAATCAGCACAAATCGGAGCAACGAAGGCCCAATACGCTCAATGTTTGCAATAATCAATGCTCGGCACAATGTGGAAATACCCTTTCGGTTAGTAGACCAGGTTCAAGGCACAAACTTAGGCATCAAAATTCATCGTCACAGGGGAGCTACGAGAGCGCATCGCCATCTCTTTCTCGAGGTTTGTATTAGCACCCAAAAATTCATGAAAAATCTATCTTCCCAATGAACACCAAAAAACTATTCCATAACTGTTACAGATTTGTTCCACATCTGTCATCCTAAATTTGTAACACCAAAAAAATGTTCCATAACTGTTACAGATTTGTTCCACATCTGTCATCCTAAATTTGTAACACCAAAAAAATGTTCCATAACTGTTACAGATTTGTTCCATATCTATATCATCCTAAACTTGTAACATACTCTGTTACAGTTATGGAACAGTTTTTTGGTGTTCACTGGGTTTATTCTTAAAAATACTTTCTGCCTGAATTTTACGATATCGTCAAATGGGATAACTTTCCTCTGAAATTAGTCAATAGTTGGAATTGACTAATAATTAGAATTGATACTTTGAGGGTGTTTCAAATACAGGTCAGACAAAGATCTATAAATCCGTAAATGGTTCTTAGGAGTTAATCTAACTTGGAGAGAAATTATGCCCACACAGCACGTAAACTTACTGATGATGGTGTGGGGGAATTGCAGAAATTATGCTCCCTATCGAATTTGGTACTTCACTACTAGATACTAAATCAATTCTATTCATGAAGGGTGGGAAAATAAATAAAAATGTTATTTTTCATCGGCAAAGCTTTAAGGGGATAAGACTAGGACTTCCTTTATGAAAACTTATTACTGGATTAATTACTGGATGAATTACTAGAAATTCAGTAAAGATTGAGAATCACCTTGAAAGTTTAATTCAAGCAGTGTTCCCTGACGGATTTCGTGGACCAAAACTGGACCCAGCTGGATCCACTTTAGGTTCCACCAAAGTTTAACCACTTCTAGTTAACGGACATCCAAAATAGCAGCAAGAGCTTAGCCTAACTTTGACCTATCAGTTTTACACTAAAAGTAAATTTCTCGACCAATGTTTTTTCAATATGGATTCAGGAGTATAGATAGCGGATGAACTATAGCTAAAACAGAAACCGGGGAACAATTTATTAGACCTGGGTCTTTATTTGATGTTGCTGATAAATGTTTGTCCTGGAATTCAAACAGTGGCTGACTATAGAGCATCAGAACTAATTACCTTACCTCACCTCTTCGTAGGTTTGAGCTTTGGGTTTTGAATAAGTAATGAGGTAAGTGTTGCTACTTGTCAGGCGATACAAGAATACTATCAATACAAGAAGCTGAAGTACTTACTTCCGCTGAATTCAGTGCATCCTGTACTGTCGTAATGGATCACTTCAGATTCCCAATACTTTACAACTAATAGTTGCTAAAGTTTGTTTCTAATTCCACTTTCTAAATCCAAGTGATGTAGTTACTTAATGTCTCATCAACTGACTTAGTGGAACCTACCAAGTTTTTGCAGATACTCTCAAGTCATCAATTTAGAAGATGATTCCCCAATTTGCAAACCGTTCTTAATCATTTCAATCTGAAAACTTCATCCTAAGAACCAAATCGTCATTGGGTTCTTAAGATAAAGTTCTCCTTCCTTTCTACTCTACTATTAGGTGAACTAATTAGAATTAGAAGGGTTCAGCATGGTCGCTCAAAAAATAATTTTTCATCTTCTTCTGATTATCGGCTGTGGTTGCTTTTTATGAATTGTGAATTAAATTAATTTTGATGACCCAGATATTAATTGCAATTGTTCTAGTAATAGTTGAGGACCAGTAAAAAATTTTTTGACTAACAATTGTTCGCAAACAGAAGATTAATTATGATTTTTGAATCATAAAGGTGTTGGAATTCGCCTCCGTGGGAGCTGCTGCAGTAATCAGCAAATTACCTAACAAGCAGTTATCCCGTTTGACCTTAATTCGCAAACAAAATAAAGAAAAAAAGATAATATAATTGTTTACAGACAGCAGTACGGAATTGTATACAGACAGTACGGGTATAGACTTGGAACAGTTTATCGCCGAGACGATAAATCGTAATCAAAAGGATCGCACAGTATTGTTGAAAATCGAGAAGGATCTCATTGAATTTATAAAAGATCGACAGAAGGTGTGCCACAAATTTCCGAATATGTCCTCCTATAATCGAATGTTGGTGCATCGAGTTGCAGCTTACTTTGGAATGGAGCACAATGTGGACCAATCGGGACTATGCGTTATAGTGACTCGAACGAAAAACATGCGAATTCCCGACACTCGTTTCAAGCAACATATTCGTGACGATTTGATATTATCCGAGGAGCCAAGGCGAAGTATTCTCAAGAGGGATTCGAGCTCATTTGAGGACAGTTTCAATTTTAAGTCGCCGGATCGACTTTCAGGAGAGTACTGCCGTAGGAGCAAGAGTTTCGAGGAGAGGGAGGAAGAGTACGAAAGAGCGAGGCAGAGGATCTTCAAAGACAGCAGTGGCGAGAGCAGCGAAGTCACTTCCTGGCCATATTGGTCGTCGTCCGAGAGTTCCGACGCATCGGCACGTTATCGTCTTCTTCATCCTTCTGATAACATTATGAGGTATCTACTTTTTGCAACAAGTTTTTTTAACAACTTGTAATACTCAATAATTACTTGAGTTCTGTTACTTGTGAAATCTGGTGGTTATCCTAGGAGTAATAATGTGAAATTTCTAATTATTAGACAACCAAGACTTGCGAAGGGCGAATCTTGCGACGGACGGGAAACTCTACGGAATGGAGTTCCTAGACCATCGGTCTCGAAGTCCTACAGTTTCGGGGGCTACACGGGAGGGATGCTCTCGAGAGGCGACAGCGTTATGTCCACACACAGCGCGGGTCCTCGACTTACGAAGCAGGGTTTGTACTTAGTCTTCTATTTTCTCTTTCGGAAAAGGAACGAAATATAACTATTGAAACGAAAGGAAGAGTGTTAGATAAAAACCTAATTTTTTAGATTCGAGTGCAAGTATGTGCTCACGACTCAGTCCATCGAGTAGTGGGTACAAATCGCAAAGTCAACGGAGCGATACGACAATTTCTCCATCGCCCTCGCCGTCACCTATTCCTCCCCTGGGTTGCAATCACAACCAAATCTCTAGTCAAGATTCCGTTTCGCCGGAGCCAAATAGTCAGACTGTTGTCTGGGCCGTCTCGAGTATTTCGAGCGTCCCACCTGGAAGTGTAATAATCGATCCGCAGACCAATGAACCCTACACCAATCCAGACGGTTCACTCTATCGCTTTGATCCCAAGAATCTACCGAAATTCTTCCCCGAGGAATGCGAGCCGGTCACCAAAAAGCCTGAGCAGCCAACGGAGCCTAGGAACTCTAAGGAGTACTCCAAGGAGAAGAGACGATCTCACAAGAATAACGGCGGTAATTCGTCTTCGAATCAGGTGAGTAATTAAAAAATCAAGCGTGGACTTCGGTATTGGAGACTATTTGGTTAGATTAGGTGAGGAGTAGGCTAAAATAAAACATTGTCCTCAGACACAAGTGATGAATTCGGCGACTTCGCCGAGTTTGCCAGTGACTCCGCCGCCAGCGCCACCGCCCTTGCCGCAGCAACATTGCAGCTCAGCCTCCTCGCAATCTCTAGTCAAAACCTCAACAGTACAATCGTGCGGGCACAACCAGTTTGTCCACCCCTACGTGACGTATTTGCCTACCTCAGAGCCGAACAGTCAGAACATCTATCAACCCTCCACGGCGCAACCGACTGTGATGATGCCTCCGCATCAGGGTCAGCCTGCGGTGCAAAACAGTGGACAGGGCGACGTTATTTTTAATCAGAATCCACTCTATGCCAATTACGCTGTACCTGTTCAACAAGGACCTCTTCCCCAACCTGTAAGTGTATTTATCGCTTTTTGTCCATAACAGTCACAACCGATTTTCATTCCTCTTAATAATTTCATCATACTTAGGACGCGTCCGATTTATCCGGTTACTTCATGGGAATGAACATCTACGACCAAAGAGGTGGAGGCGATAATCAAACAACACCTCCCCATCCTTATCCACCAACTCCTCCGTCTTCAAATCCAACTCTGCAGAATGTTCAGACAGTTCAACCTAATTTCTGGCAAGCACCTAACAACATGCCGGTGAGCTTCTCTATTAATAATCCTATCTATTTTTTACTGCAAACAAAAGCCACTTGTTGTTTTATTTATAGAAAATTATGATAATCAATGTAAATAACGAATGCCTAATGTGAAACTTGAGTTCTTTCTTCACTTTTGAATAAAAACTACAAACGAACGAACGAAAATTTCAATTTAATTTCCAGCCACAGCAGACAATGTATTTCGTGCCCCCACCAGGAGCGATGGTTAATCAAAATTCCGGAGAAAGACAACAGCAGCGATTTCCGACGAGCTATGCATTCAATTTACAGACAATGACCCCACCAAGTCAATCAAACGGTGAGAATGGGATTGAATAATGGGAAACAAAATATTGTAGAACTAGAAGTAGATTTATTGGGAGTGGGCAATTAAACTTCAATAAAGGGCTGAATTTACTTGATGGTTTATTATTTTATTGTTGTAATTATTCTATTTATGTTAATTTCGGGAATTTCAAGAAATACCTAACTTTTGGAATGCGAATTATTTTAATGAAACAGACTTTAATTGAATGTAATGGAATTGCAGCGAATTTTGTCGGTAATTATTCGGGGGTGCCGTACAATTCAATGCCGGCTGTTACTCCAACTCCTGGAGAGTTTTCGTGTCAACCTCCGGTGCACATGGTTCCCGCTTATTATCCACAGCCGCAACCTGGAATACAACCGCCGCCAGTTATGTACCGAGTTCCCACTCCTCCCAATACACCAACATCCACTCAGGTTTGTATTTGTAATTGTGAAAATTTATAATTTTTTTCTAATATTCTTTCATTTTAAATTAATAACGGATTTTTCTTCTTAGATGCCGGGCATGCCATTAATGTACGTGAACTCGGGAAGTTACGCACCGCCTGGGACAATGGTTTCCGCAGGAACATTTGGACATCAAGTCGCTCCTAATGGTGCTTCGCCTGCTCCTCCCGGGGCCTACATGGCTCCCGCTCTCGTTCCTAATATTGTCTTTAGGCAAAATGTACCTGTAAGAATTTTTTTAATTCTTTTTATTATAGTTCTTTTAATTTTCGTTCCTTCTTTTTTCTTATTGTCTCATTTTTTCTTCTTCTTAGTTCTTTCTTCTTCTTGTCTCATTGTTAAAAGCAACAGTTCGTTTTCTTTTGATGTTTTTAAGTAATGAAAAATATTCTTCTTTTTTGCAGCTTGTAACTGGAGTTCGAGCCTCGACGCCCGGGAGTTCACAAAGAGCGAGCAGATCGCCAACTCCTGCACATGAAGTGTTTGGAGGTGGAGACAGAAATACACAACCTCAGCCACGTTACCCACTGCCAGTTTATCAGGGTATTCACATCGTGCAAGGTGAGTCGCATGAAACCCGATCTAATTCTCCTAACACTAAATTTATTCATCATCTAATATAATACTGTTTTTTTAATTTATTCATCATTTAATATTAATACCTTCTTTAAATTTATTCATCATCTAATATAAATACCTTTTTTCTATTTATTCATCATTTAATAATAATACCTTTTTTTATTCATCATTTAATATTAATACCTTTTTTTATTCATCATTTAATATTAATACCTTTTTCAATTTATTCATCATCTAATATTAATACCTTTTGTTTTAAATTTATTCATCATTTAATATTAATACCCTTTTTTTAAACTTATTCATCATCTAATATAAATACCTTTTTTTAATTCATCATTTAATATTAATACCTTTTGTTTTAAATTTATTCATCATCTAATGTAAATACCTTTTTTTATTCATCATTTAATATTAATACCTTTTTTCAAATTTATTCATCATTTAATATTAATACCTTTTTTGAAAACTATTTTCCAGGGGATATGCGGCTAATGCATCCTGCAGTTCAAGGGAATCCACGATTACAATACGCGCCAGTCCCATCACCACCTGTTATTCAAGGCTGCCCACGTCCTTATCGGCCATCTTCTTATTCCTCAAACGTTTCCGGTGCTGGAACACCAAATTCGTTTGATGGCAGAAATCCAAAGATTCGTAAACAGAGGTAAACATTAATTTATATTCTATTAATTATTAATAATAATTATTAATTTATTCTTACCTATTTATTATTTTCTTGTTTAGTTATAAGAATCTATTTATAAATTCGATTAAAAAATGAATGTAGCAAAAATAGATGTTAATAAATTTTGATTGTGGATTACAGGTCCAAAATTACAACCCTGCCACCAACAGGTGCTCGACCCAATGTTTATCAAAACTCTTCAGCGCCACCGCTCTCTTGTAATGCACCTAAAGATATCAGAGAAGGTAAAAATAGTTAACTCTTTTTATTATTCGATTTTTTTTAAATTAAGAGAAAAAAATATATATTTATAGTGATAAGTATAACTAAATTTAGTTTACCCATTTAAAATATTTCTTTGAATAATTTTTGAAAAAGTCATTCTGATTTTTCTTTCTGTCTCAAAAAGCTAAACCCTCTGAAGATCATATGATATAAGGTACAAAAAAAAAAATACAGCATTATTTTTTAATTTTACCATATAATTTTTGAAATTATAATTTAAAAAATATATTCTTTTTCAGGAACCATAAAGGTGACAATCACCCGTCAAAATCCGTTGATACAACATTAATTCCAATGAGAGAAGATGAAAATAAAAAAAAACAAAAGCAGAAGAGGAACAGGTACAAAAAAGCGGCTATTAAAAAAAAACAAAAGAGAAACGAAAAAGTAAAAATTGAAGTTATTAGAGAAAGAATGAAATTAAAATGCGAATTATCGGTAAGAAGCGAAAAAGAGAAATGATAAACTATTAATGATATTATTTCGTTTAAAAAAGAAAAAAAAGAGTTAAGTGATTCTACTAGTGCGATTTTTCGAGGTGGAGGAGAGGGGGGAAAAAGAAAAAAAAATGACCAGAGAAAAGTTTTCGAGTTTTTACTGGTAGAAAGTAAGGACTGCGCGAAGAGAGTCACTCACAGAATTTTATCTACTATTACAGTGATTATTATAAATATAAAAGAAAAACAAGAAAAAAAATTGAATATATATTTATTTATTTATTATTAACATATAATAAATATATAAGTATATAAATATATATACATACACGCATTAAACGTGAAGATATTTTAACCGCGGTTTTACAGATCTTATAAAGAATGTGAATTATATATTTAAGGCATTAAGCTGAAAATATAAAAAAGTAAAAAAAGGGGGCAAAAATAAAACGAAAAATTTGTCGAGATGTCTTCGTCGATTATGCGAATCTAAGGATACTTTTACTGAGTACGTTTACGGGAATAATTATAAAGTGTCTTTAAGATCGATCACGACGATCTAAAGTCTATTTTTTCACCTTCGGTTCTACCTCATTTCGCTATAAAATAATGCTTTTGGAGCAATCACTTTCGGCCAGAGGGAAAAGAAAACTGAATTTATTTTTTTTCCCCAGAGAGAAAATATAATTTTCGGAAATTTTTATTAGAAAAAAGTAATTAAAAAACAATTAATTAAAAAAGTATAAAAAGTAATTACAAGTAATTTAATCTTTATTCAAAGGTAATTAAATATTTATTAAATGATAATTTATTTATTCAAATGGTTATGAAAATTAAATTCTTTTTATTATTATTTCGAAAAAATTATCGGAGTTTTGTTAAAAACTTTTTTCTTCTTTCTAATTAAAACAAAAGCTTTTAATCACAAAGTTTTTTAAGTAAATGTGAGTAATTTTTAGTGTATACGATTTTTAAAATAAAAAAGGAAAAGAATTGGAACATTTTTAGGTAAAAATATTAATTTTTGTTAAAAATTTCGTTAATTTTGTATAATATTTAAAATTTTAAATATGTAATTAATAGAGATTTGAGTAAAAAGTTAAATTTTTATCTTACGTATTTTAATCGTTAATTTTGTCACTTTTATCTGATTTTTATATTTATCGATTTTAATATTAAATTTAATTAAATTAATTAAATGTAACCTAAAAATTCCGAAGATCGTCGTTAAATAAAAATTTGTTTTTAATCTATTTTTTAAATAAATTTTATAAAAATATATAAAATTTTATATACAATATAGTGTTGTATAATATTCAAATTTTAATTAAATTAATACATTTTTTAATTAATTTAATAAATTTAAAAAATAATGCATTATTATTGAAAATTAAAATTAAATAAAATGAATATTGAAATAAATTATTATAATAAAGCATTATTTTTAAAATTTATAAAAGTAATTAAAAAATTGAATAATTTAATTGATTAATTAAAAAAAATTGTTCGAATGTCAATGAATTGATTTATTGCCGTTTTTGTTATAAATATTTTTAAAAATAATGTTACTTTTACGTTTTCCAAACTTGAGGCTGAATGTGATTTTGACCAAAGAATATTTACGCTTAAGAAAGCCATAATTTATTGAAGGGAAAGCAACTGGTATATTTTTTGAGAGCAATATCCGAAGGAGAGGTATTTTTCCTCTTCCTCTTTCATCTCAACGCAATAATGTAGCTGAGTTGAAAAATTAGTTGAACGATTGGTAAACGTATTCAGTAGCTAGTCTTATGTATCTTAGTGAAACGCAATGAAAACGTATGACCATGTAAAATCTCCGTCTGTAAAACTAACGAACGGGACATAAAATTTCATTGGAAAAAATTTCTTAAAAATAAAAAAAAAATTTTTTTTCGTTTTCTTTTTCTTTTTTACAATTTCCAATACAATTTCAGAAACAAAATTTATTTTCTATTATAAAGAACTTTTTTTTTTGTTGCATATTTAAGCGAATGAAAATTTTGTCTCATTTTTTAAAATCGTGAGAGAAAAAAAATAAATTAAAATATTTGATATCTAATTTATTTTGTATTAAAAATTTTTAAAAAAGCATAAAAAAAAATTAAAATGTCGACAAAAAAAACATCTTTTTTGTGAATTTCAGCACAAAATGCATTTTTCATATAAGTTTCCAAGCATAAAATTTTATTTAATCAGTAAAGTCTGATTTTTTTGTGTTCTTTTCGATTTCTTTTTCAAAATATAGAAAAAGTTCTGTTCTTTTTCCAATTTTATGTAGGTATTTTCAATATCAATGTCGATATTTCTGTTTTTAATAAAATGAATCTTTTTTTAAAAAAAAGTCAATTGAATGGAAAAAAAAATGTTTGATTAAACTGTATTAAAGAAAACTTTGAAACGAGGAATTTTGCAAATATTTTTTTTTAATGCAACTAATTTTTTCATTTAAAAAGTAAAGAAAATATTAAATTATTTTTTTCTTTTTGAAATATTTTTTTTCATAAAAATATAAAAATATTTTTATTTATCAACATTTTTTCTTTATAAGCGAAAATTTGATGTTAAAAATTTCTTTAAATATGAAAATAAATTAATATATTAAAAGAACTGTATTATTAACTAAGTAAATGTTTCAATTGTTACATCAATTTATCATTTTTGTTTTTATTATTATTTTTATTTTTACCTATTATTTTTATTATTTATATTATTAATATTGTAATTATCATTATTTTTATTATTATTATTATTATTATTATTTTTATTATTATTATTATTATTGTTATAATTATCATTATTATATTATTTTTATTATTTATATTATTATTATTATTATTATTATTATTATTATTATTATTAATTTTATTATTATAATTATTATTATTATATTATTATTTTTATTATTATAATTAGTATCATTATTATTATATTATTAATTTTATTATTATTATTATTGCAGTTATAATTATATTTTATATTCTTAATTAATAATTATTATTATTTTTTTTATTTCTGCTACCACTATTATTATTTTTATTATAGTTTATAAATCTTTGGAAAGTTAAAGAATGTATTAAAAGAGAGAACCGATTGTTTTTTGTCTCGTTCAGCGAAAAATACAAAGTGGATTCCATCCAGAAGCTTTGCTTACGGTGATTGTACTTAAGTTTGTAGATTTAGCTTTTTTATTCCCTCATAAAAAATAATATTTACATAATTATCAATTTTACATAAATATCGATGAGGAAAAAAATTATTTTAACCCCTGAAATATTGATTCTGTTGTCATTAAATTAATATTTCTTTTTTCAATATTTTTTATTAGACAATTTTTAATAAACCGAGTTTCGCAACTGTACATTAACTTTTTGTATGTATCTGTATTCAAAGGCTTTTTTTGTCTGTTAATTTCTAAATAAAAAATATTTTATAAATGTCAATTTTTTTTTTTTTATGAAAACTGTTTAACATTTTTCTATCAGTTATGAAATTTCGGATGAATTTAATTTTTTTTAAATTCGAATACAGTGATAAATTTTGAATGAAATCGGAAAGAATTTCAGAACGAAAATTAAAATAAAAGATAAAAAATTTAAATTTAATTTTTTTAAAAAATAAAATAAATCTTTTATGAGGGAAGAAGAAGAGTGATTCTAGTTTGTAGATATTATAAACTAAGACCGTAGTAATGTACCTAATTAAAAGATTCAAAGATCTCTGAAATAATTCTCGGCTGTTACAGAATAATAATAATCAACTCGCAAGTGTTGTTTGTCATTAAAAACGCAATTGTAATTTTATTATTTATAATTAACGATATTTATACGAGACGAGAAACACGATTATATAAAAAAAAATGGACACGAACAACATTTGCGAGATTCTTGCTTTTGTTATTCTTTTCATTACAAGAAAAAAAACATATATTATAGACTAATATAAAAACGAATGTGTCACCAAAGCCACAAAACGCATCGAATTATCGTTATTTTTTATTAAAAATAAAAGAAAAAAGAAAGAAAAAAACGAATTCAACTCCAATTTTTCATTCCTGTGAAAAGAAAAAAAAATTTCGGTTTCAATAATTTTTTACTAAATTTTTTCGCTAGAAATAAAAATTTTACCGCAGGAAATTTTGAATCAAGGAAGAGATTTCACTCCATAGATTTATTTTCTAATATAGTTGTTGAGTTGAAAAAAAATCCGAGGCCAAAGAGGAGGGGAAATTGCGTTCCTGTGATTCTGAAAAAAAGTAGAAATTATGAATTTTTCTTTTTTTTTTTTTTTGAAAATTCACAGCGTGCTACTAATTTTAATAAACAGAAAAAAAATGTTTTTTGTCATATATAAGTATAAAAAAAAATATTGAAATATCGCGCAAAATATTAGTTATCAAAATATAGACCAAGTCCTTTCACACTCTTTCTCTCTTTTTCCATCTCCTTATTCTCTATTTTGGAAAAAAATCATATTCGATACCTATATATATATATTATATATAAGTTAAAAATTGTTGTACAGTTCGTGGAATGAAAAATGAAAATGTAGCAGAATCGATGTGATAAAAAAAAGAATATTTTCTCTGCTTTCTTTTTGCATTAAATCAATTTTTTTTCTTAGCTAACAAATTTTTGCTATTTTTCAGAAATGATTCTGCCTTTTTTTTTACTTCACGAACTTCGATTAATTCTCGAATATTTTTTCCGCATTCCATATTTTATGGAGGAAAAAAAATTAAACCAGCAAAATCATTTGATTAAAAAATTTTATTCTTTCATTCTTTACATTTCCCGCGATAATTTGAAAACTCAAAAAACGAATTTTTGAAAAAATTATAAAGTTTTGTATAACACAAAATTACTGTTTTTCGAAAGTCATTCCAATCTAACTTTTTTAATTTTGTTTAAATGTAAATGTTTTTTTTTTTTTAATAATAATGTTTCTGTCAATGAAAAAAATTTTTAAAAACTAATTATCTCTGGACTTTCTTCAAATTTTTAATTCCTAAACGAATAAAGACTGTTTTATAATGTTTTTTTTTATTATTTGACCAGTGAAACTTGTTTTCATTTATCAAAAAAAATTTTTTTCTTTAATTAAAATTTTTTCCTTTTTTTGAAGAAGTTGTAAAAAAATTTTTTCTCAAATGTATTTGCTGCAGGTTTGATTTTATCGACGAGTATAAGCTCCATCAATTATAAAAAAAGATGGGTGGAAAAAAATAAAACGCGTAAAATGAACGACCATCAGAAAAAAATAATGTGCACATCGTAAAGGGAAAATAGGCGGAATAATCGCTAAAAAAAAAAACTCGTGTCATTCTAATTATATCTCTTGTTATATTATATACATAATATATTATCATATTTTCCAAAAGCGAATTATATATGATTCAATAAAAAGGCGTTAGTTTCTAATTATGTGTCTTTTTTTATTCCCATAATCGCAAACTTTTTGTGTTTTTTTCACTTTCTATTGTTTACTTATAATTTGGATACTTTAAAGTATTATGAAATTTTATTTGAATTCTCAAGTTTGAACTGAAGATTTTTTAAAACGTAATCTGAAAATTTCAAAACTTTTTTTTTAAAGGATTCATCTAATATTCATACCTTTTTTAAACTTATTCACCATCTAATATTAATACCTTTTGTTTTTAATTTATTCATCATTTAATATTAATACCCTTTTTTTAAACTTATTCATCATATAATATAAATACCTTTTTTTATTCATCATTTAATATTAATACCTTTTTCAATTTATTCATCATTTAATATTAATACCCTTTCTTTAAATTTAATCATCATCTAATAAATACCTTTTTTTAAATTTATTCATCATTTAATATTATTACCATTTTTTAAAATTTATTCATCATCTAATATTAATACCTTTTTTAAAATTTATTCATCATCTAATATTAATACCTTTTTAAAATCCTTTTCATAGAAGGATAAGATGATCCAAAAATGACTCATTTTTGCCCAAAACTTAATTTTTGTATACCAAGGGTTTAAAATAGTCCATTTTTGCCCTGACACCAGTTGAATTTCGAATCAGAAATTTTTTTGACTTTTTTTTAAAGGATTCCGTTTTTTTTTTATTTTTAAGTAGGATCAATGAAATAAAAAATTAACATTCAATGAAAAGTTTTTCATTAATTGATAAATTTTGCAAAAGGTTTAATATTAAGTCTATTTTCAAAAATATGTGTAAAATCAAATAATTTCAAATAATTATCAATTCTCGAAATTATATTAAAATATTCCGTGATAATTTGTATAAAGTGCAAAAATAAAATTGTTAACTAATATTAAATTATTTTGTTTATATCATTAAAACCTTGTCACTACATTAGTCTAATTATTCTAATCTACTTAGATTTGTTATTCATTATATTCTATATTAATTATTCTATGAGTAAAATAAATTACCGCCATTGATTTAATAAGTACAAATTTTTATTAATCTTTGCATCTTTGCAATCTGACATTTTAACTGTAACATAAATTATCGAAAATAAAAATATTTTCTTCTCTTACAATTCAAATTATAAATCGAAATATAAAAATAAATTTTATAAATGTAAAAAAAATTTTAAGAAAATACGTCTTGTCAATAAACATATAATTAAGTTTTTAGAGATTGAGTATTTCTAATATTCCATCGCGTTCCGGTGAATCTTCTTTATCTATAAATTCGAGAGTCTTTCGCAAATTCTCTTGCGTTCTTCTCTCCTCCCTTTTGCCCATTAATGTCATCGTTCGTTTAAGAAATTGTGGCAAATCACAACTGACAACAGATGAATCTTCACTGGAAAATATTTCCTCAATGGGTTTTTTATTTAGTTCTTCGAAAACTTGACTGATTTGATCAGATTCAAATATTTTCTCCCCATGTTTTGAATTCACTTCTTCGACAACTTTACCGATTTTATCTAATTCGACATTTTTACAATCAGGAAGATTTAAAATTTCTACACTTGGTTTTGGTTTTAGAGTCTCTTTTTTGTGGACTTCACTAAATTTGACGAATTCGAAATTATCATTAATATCTTCAATGGAAGTTTTGACTTTCGTTTTATTTTCAGAATTTGTATTTTTATTATTACTCGGTTTAAAAGAGGTTTGAAAATTAGTTTTACTCGGAGGCGGACAAGCACGTGGAAGAAGATAAGACGTCATTAAGGATTTTGCCAAATTTTGCGCTTTAATTTGATTTCTTTTATAAACAGCTTCATAGGATTCTTCATAATCCAAAAAGACTTGATTTTCATTAGTTGTCGAATTTTTAATCGGTGGAGAAATTTCATTAACCTCTGAGTATTTAAAATCCGCTGAAGATTGTATCACCGGTGCTTCTAGATTAAAATTTAAGTTGTAAATTATTGAGGGATTTTTACCGATTTTTGCCAGACATTTTTTAAAATAGAGAAGTGAAAAATTCCTATCACTATGTGTGGGCAAGTTTCCTTTCGTAACGAACTCTTGCTCCAAGATCCAATTATTAATGTTTATATCTTCTTCTCCTCTCGTGTCTACAAGCTCAACTGAGATCGAATTTTCCTGAAATTAGAAAAATTGATTTAATTTCTAAAATTTAGTTTTTATTATTTACATTTTTAATATTAAACATTTTAAACTTTTAAATTAAAGGAAGGGAAAGTTTAATTTTAAACTTTTATTAATAAATTTTCGACATGAAAAATTAAAAAAATAGTTTAACTTTTTTTAAAATAATCGGTGTTGATAAAAATTATAAAAGGTAATAAAAGAGATAGAAGGGAAAAAATGAGAATCAATTATTTATAATTACCTCCACATTTTTAGTGATGATTTCTGCACAAAGTGGGGTCGATGATATTTTTAATATAAACTTTTCAACGATATTTTTTTTCCACTCTTTGTGAACCGGTTTCACATTACTTAGGGAGCAAAGTATCGCTTGCGCCGGTAAGTTTATAAATTGCCGATGGAGGAAATACAATTCATTAGGATAATAGTTGTCCACAGTACCGTAATCGTAGAAAAATACCTGCAATAAATAAATAAAAAAAATGCTATTTTAAAGTCGAACGAATAAGAATTTTTCTATTTTTTAAATAACTTGTTTCTTAACTAAATGACAAAACTTTTCTGTTACATTTTGGAAGCATTATTTTTTTATAAAAAAATATAAAATTAATAATTACAAAATATCTTTAATTAATTTTATATTTTTTTACGTTTTTAATTGCTTTAATTTAATAAAAATTTATATCGAAACTTACATACGAATGCCCGTCCGGCAGGATCCCTTTTATTACGCCTCGATGCCATTTATTGCTGAATTTGACCGCAACGTTTAGACCAACTTCCAACGCAATCGAAGGTATTCGATACTTTTTGCTTTCAGTCTCATAAAATTGACTTGAAAAAAAAAAATTTTTTTTAATTCTTTTAAACATTAATTAAAATAAAACCAAATAAATATTTCATTTGATGTTAATTAAAATGTTTAATTATTAATAAACCAAAACAGAAAATTAAAAAGAATTATAAACTGCGAGAAATTGAATTAAAAAAAAGAAAAACAAAAATAAATGTAAATTTAAACAATTTATATTAAATCCTATTTAGATAGTTAAAATTTTTAGTTTTTTTTAAATACTTACTGTAGATTTTTGGAAAATTTTTCAAAATTTAGTAGTTTACTTCTTAAATGTATCCAGAAGAAGGATGGCGAATTCACGTCGCTAATTACGACTTCCTCATAATAAGGTGGATTCACACCTAATTTAAGAACACTGATGTGCCCCACAGTTTCGCCAGTTTTTACCACATCTTCCGGCAGTAATTTTTCGATTGTTTTCTTATCCTAAAAAATTGGATTTTAAAAAAATTGTTAGTAATAATAATAAAATTATAATATTATTAATATTATTAATAATAATAAAATATTATATTATTATTACTAATGTGACGCGACTTAAGAAAGCCGCCTAAAAATCAAACGAATTATAGGTTATGTTTATGTTAGATTTATCTTGATTATAATAATTTCTTTTCAATTATGTAAATTTGAAACCAGATTTTATTAAATATTTTGGATGTAAAGAAAACTTGAACATCAATAATTTGTAATAATAATTGATTTTATTTCTGTATTTTTACTCAAAAAATTATAAACATAACCTACAATTTTTTGTAACCTAACTTTGAACATTTTTTTATTTATGAAAATTTTTTGATTTATAAATAGTTACAAAAAAAGAAAACTTTTTATTATTACATATTATAATTTGGCAAATATTTATCCGTGTGAATATTTTTTACCTCGGATACAAGTTAAAAATTTAAACAAAATTTCGTCTCTATGAGGAAGCAAAGTATTCATGAAATGACCATAAAAATAAAAAACTAAAAGTGATAAAATTTGGCAACACTTTCTTTAAAATTTCTAATAATAATAATAAATAAGAGTCATTTGATTTTATTGAACAAAGACAGTTGTTTTTATTTAAAAAATTGTCTCACACTTGTAATCCTTGTAATTGTTTACGATCAGGGATCATTTCACGATGGAATGACCCAAACGCAAACAGAATGGTAAAAAAAGCACACTACCTACTATGTATTTGTTTTTATGTAAAGTTAAATTTTAATTATATATGAAAACTACTTACTAATTTGGGAAAAACTTCCGTCTCCTCCATTTTTTATCTTTTTTATTCACTGATTTCGATTTTTCGTTTTGTTTTTTTCAACAAAGTGCTGAGCAGAGCAGAACAAAGTTGACAAGCAGTTGACAAGAGAATAACCAGGGTACGGAACAACTCTAAATTAAATGTGCAAATAATATTTTTTGCATTGACTGTACAAAAAACAAATGTCGAAGGTGTCACACTTCAGAGTTTGCAGGTTTCATTGTAGAATCAGCAACAGAAGTTCATCTCTTATCATCCGTCGTTTCCCAACCATGGTCATGGTCATTTTGACGTCTGCTCGGTTTGCTCTCAGGTCTCAGCACGTTTCTAATGTTATGCGAAAAGAGAGATTTTTTTATCAATTAAAAAAACGTTTTGTTTTTGTTCACCAGTTTTGCAATTGAATTTGAAGATATTTTCTGTTATTCGATCGTCTCTTAGAGGTAAGTTTCGAATTCTATTTTACAATAATTTTAGAGAATCAATTCTTTGTAATTCCGGGTGTTTTCTGATGTTAGTGAAAAAACAGTTTCAGAATCGCGCAATTAAATTTTTTACGGTAGTAAATGATAAATACCTTTACAGAAATCAATACTTTTCTTTTTTAAATGTTTTCGTTTTTATTACATTTCTCGGATTTCTGAATTAAAAAATCCGATTAAAAAATTACCGCTTTTTTGAAATATATTTTATTATCTATAATATTAAAAATTGAATATTCGTAACGTTTTTATTACTTTTTTTTTAATAATTAAAAATCTGTGAATTTGTATTTTTCATAACAAAATAAATGGAAAAATATTTATTCTTTTCATAGGCTAGACAATAAAATTTATATTTTTGCATATAAATAAAATGAATAAAATTAAAATGTGTGAAAAATTATTTTATTTTCCTTTTTACTTTCTTTTTCCCTATATATTCGATTTTTCTAAAATATTTAATTTTTTAAGTATTTTTAATCAAATTTTTTAAAGTTTATTGTCATCGGAATGAGAATTTTAAAAAATTCCAAAAGTGACGAACTTTAAAAAAGTGTATCTCAGAAGTTTATAATTTGAGGTTATGTTTCGAATTTTTTTAAATGAAAAACTTTCAATATGAGGCATTTTACGTGAACTGTCCCAAGTTAAAATTTCAACTTCTTGAAAAAAATTGAAACTCGGGTAATTTATTGTTCTATCAAGTAGAAATGTGACCCAAAAAACATTTTTGATTTTTTCGAAAAATTGGAGGTGGTAGAGGGGGGTCAATTTTGCTAAACACCGTCAACTTTCTCAATTTTTTCTTTACTTACATAACATGGGAAAAATTCTGTCCAATATGTTTCTAAAAGGTTTTTTCATACTCTTTTCAATGGTGAATTTTATTTTTTAATATTTTAAAAATTGATCCTAATTTTTTATAATTAATATTTAATTTGCACCTAAACTCTTTCTTTGTCGCGAAGAGTCACATTTCCATTCTATAATGTAAATTCTGAACAATAAATATAAATTACATTTTATTTAAATATAAATGTGACGCGATCTGAAGAAAGGGACCTTAGAAGCAAATCATTTTAAGGTTGGGTTAGAGTTACTTTTTTCTTGTTTAAAAGTTTCTTTTTACTTATTTCGAATTAAAATCAGTGTTTATTAAATATTTTAGTTTTAATGAAGACTTAAACTTCAATGATTTATATTGACAGTTGATCCTTTTTTTGTATTTTCAATTAAAAAATTGCAAACATAACCTATAATTTTTTGCTTCTAAGGTCCCTTTCTTCAGATCGCGTCACAAATATACATTTGTGTCGCACGCTTCGAAGAAAGGCACCTAAGAAGCAAAAAATTTGAGGTTATGTTTTTTAATTTTTTGAGTAAAAATACAGAAAGAGAATCAATTATTAATCTTCACGTGTTCATTATATCCAAAATATTCAATGAAAATTTTTTCAAATTCAAATAATTAAAAATAAACAGATAAACTTTTAATCAAGATAAATCTAACACAAACCTAACCTATAATCATTTGCTTCTTAGGTACCTTTCTTGTGAGCGCGTCAAATTTAAATATAAAACTTGATTGAATATGATTTTTTTTTATTTAATTACAGAAATAGCCTGGATACTGAAGATATTGAAGAAATCGAAGAAAAATTACTCCCAGTCATCTTTTGTCGATTTTCTTCTAAGCAGTGAAGAAATAATAAAAAGCGCGGAAATTTATGATGTCGAACCGAAAGAGAACTCGTTCAGGAACGTTAAAAAATACCGAAGATACAGCGACAACTGAAGAAACAATGCCTAGTGAAGAAACGAATGACTTAATTAAAAGAGCAAAGAATAGCGGAAAGTCACCTTTAATTCTGGCTATTACAGAAAATAAGACGCAAATTGTTCGCGAACTTTTGGACACTAAACTGAAAACTTACAAGAGGTTAAATTCACCGCTAACGCCGCTTCAATATGCAGCACAATTCGGGAATTTGGAAATTATTAAACTTCTATTCGACAATGGTTTTAATGAAATAGAACTGAAAAAAACGAATAAAGAATCGCCTCTCTCTTATGCCGTGGAACATGGTAATATTGATGTTATAAAATACTTGTCCGAAAATGGCGAGAAGGAAAAATTGTCAAAGCAAGAGAAACAAGTTCTTATTCGCAAGTGTATTCAAAATGATCGAGTGGATATTGTAAAGTGTTTAGTTGCCGATAAGGAAGGTATCAATGAAGAGGATTCGAATTCAGAAACATTGCTTCATTTTGCCGCGTCTCTTGGTCGAGTGGAGATATTAAAGTACTTAATAGAAATTGGTGCGGACTTGTACGTGAAGACGGATTATAATGAAACTCCACTTCATTATGCGATTAGGGGACAGAAAGTGAAAGCAGTTGAAGAGCTTTTAAAATTATGTGAAGTCAAAGAAGAAAAATATGATACACTATTTAGTGATTTAGCGGTTCACATCGCAGCCGAAGTTGGGAATGAAGAAATATTCCGTATGCTTCTAGCAGCTGGTTACTCTACCGAAAGTTGTTTTCAATCCAAAAATCCAATTCATCGTGCTGCTGCATTCGGTCAGTGGAAAATTATAAAGATACTCGTTGACTCTGGCATTGACATCACTAAAAGAACAAAAAACCATGAAACACCTTTGCATTTTGCCCTCACTTCTGGCGAATTATCAGCAGTGGAATATCTTCTAAAATCCGGAGTCAGTTTATTGAAGGAGAAAGATGATTATCACTATCCATCACCTTTGGAAAATTATCTCTTGGACAAGGAAAAGTGGAATTCGCAATTCCCATTGAATCTAATGATAGAACGTCAAGTAAAAATCCTCCGATATGTACTTAATTCTTTTTCGCAAAATCAACTCAACGAATGTTTAAGATCAGCTATAGTTTCCACATTAGATCCTTCGGCACCAGAAGAATTGTTATACGTTCTCCTTGAATACAGCAATGGAAACTGTAAAAATGTCCTCAGTCGTTATAACTGTAAAAAAAATTCAGCAATTATTATCGATCACATCGAAAAAGTGGACATACTCACCAAAGAACTAAATAATACCCTAGAATATTCGTCATTCGAAAATACGAATTACTCGGAATATAAAACATTCTGTCAGTTAATAGTCGCTCGAATTGCTCTCTTGTTGTCGATTTCGAAAAATGAAAAACTTTCCAAGCACTTGAGTTCTTTGTCAACATTTTCCATTGCAAATTATTATCTATTGTGTAAGCAGCAATTGACCGAAATGCAAAGTAAAAAAATTCACGAAGACTTCGATGTAACTTATTATGATATTTTAAAAAAACCTATCGAAAATATCGCGAATTATACAAAGTATGAAAAAATGATAACGAGCTTAGAATCAACGTATGCGCATTTTTCAGCGTACTCCGGATTTTTTAAAACACGGATCGAAAAAGGTAGACAAAGAAAAGAATTGATCGACTCAACTGTTCATTGTTTATTCAACATTGTTGTAAAAAATCATAAAATCGAATTACCATGTTTGGTGATAATGGAAATTTTCCAATCTTTATCAACAATTGATCTTCGAAAATTTATTCAAGCCTGTTCGTAATTAACTACAAAAAAAATTCGGTTTTCAGTTTTTAAAAAAAATTCTAAATACTCGTCGTTTTGTTAAAAAAAAAATATAAAACCTATACAGATTTGAGATTTGATTTGATTTGATATTTCAAAATATATGTACTAATATATAAAATATATTTTAAGTTGTATTGTTAAGAATTTAATTTTTCTTACTCCATTAAAAAAAAGATTCATTTCTAAGAAAAGAAGTACCTAAATAATAAAATAAATTATTATTATTATTATTATTAACACTGTTAATAATATTCACATGTCCTCTGTTAATAAGAAATAAAAAAATGTACACTGATTTCTGCGATATTAATTTTTTTCCCTTACCAGAATTTTTTGTTTCTTTCTATCGGTTTTTATAATCGAGTCTTAGGTTCTATTACGAACCGACCAGAATTTACAAGAGACTTAGCATTGCATTGTTTATAATTTCAAACGAAACATCTAATATATTTATAATGATCACACAATAAACAATTGAGTAAGATAATAGAAACATATTGAAATCATGTTAGTATAGTAACCTTCTATAACAACTATTTTCAAAGTTTTAATACGAAATCTTATAGTAAAAATTTATGCCTTTCAAATTTCATGTTGATCTACTTATGTAAACATATCAATAATATTTGACAAACACTACATTTTTTCACTTTACTTCTTAATGTGTTCTTCATTTTTAATTATCTCTATTTAATTACAAAACAAATTATGTACTTAATATATTAATAGCTCAGAATAAACATTAAAGATAATATTTAATTGCACTTGCATAGATTTCGTATATATACAATATAAGGTATTGAAATAAATAGTTCGAACCATTTCACTTAAACTTTAAGTACGTATTTCAATTTTTGTTAAAATTATTAAAATGATCAACAGCGAACTGAAAAATCTGGATAGGTAAGATATTTATTAAAATTGAGTGAACAAAGTGACTTTAAAATAAATGTGAAAACTGTTTTTAAATTAAAATTCTTATTTATTCAAATGTACAACATTATTCAAAAAACATGTTTTAAAAGGAGGAGGAGAAAATTAGCATTAAAACTAGGACTGTCTATGTTGTGCCTTGCAAGCCTCGTAAACTTATCAGGAGCACAAAATGATACTTCGCAAATAAGTAAGTGTACTTTTCTCTAAGATCGAAATTAATTACATCCCTTAGCATCCGGATATTCAGGATGTTCTCTGGATAGCCATTGGTCCAGGGAAATTAGAATATTTTTAAGATTCTAGGAGTATATTAATTTTCCTGGACCAATGGTTATCCCAGGACATCTTGAATATCTGAATGTATAACAAGTTCTTAATGCGGTCCCTAAGAACTGCTGGGATTGTATTTAAAAAAAATTATGAATAATTTCCTTATAGCATCAAGAGTGTTGAAGTACATGGATACAAGTATAGATCCTTGTGACAATTTTTATAAATTCGCCTGCGGTCAATACATCCAAAGTCAAATAGTTTCTGATAAAAAGTATGATGTACATAATGATTTTATTCCAATTCATCAGAAAATTCAAGAACAAATGAAAAATATTATAGAACAAGATTTGAAACCTACTGAACCTAAATATGTAAAACTAATGAAAACTTATTACCAAAACTGTATAAATGCAGGTTAGTACATAATATATATAATTATGATACAGTTTTATATTTAACAATCGTCTTATTGTTTTAATATATCAAATTACAATTTTTTTCAAAATACTCTCACTAATCAAATAACATATCCACTGTATCGACACACGAACATTTGATTTCTTTTATATCTTAAAAAATCATTTTTATCAACTTTGTCATTAGTCTTCGATTTTTATTTTTATTTTCAGAAGCTGATAATAATGATGAAGAAATTTCCAAACTGTTCGAAAATTTTCTAACCAAAATTGATGGATGGCGCTATTTAAAGGATAATTCTTCTGAAGACATAAATTTCCAATGGGAAGACTTCAATTCCAAATTAGAAAAGAACCTTCCTTTATATGAAATACCTTTTTTTAAGTTGTATCTTAAATCTGACGAAACAAATAATTCAAATCTTCTTTTGCATGTAAGTGGAAAAAAATTTTCGCCTTAAAATGCAACCTTCTGTTTGAATAATAATTTTATTTCAGATTAAAAAACCATCGAATCTTTTAGTGCTTCTTACTCATTTTAATATAATTAGAAATATTTCTATTGATGTTCACCAATATGAAATACCAGTTCTAGATATGTTCAGTATGATCATTAAAATAAACAAAGTAAACAAAATGCTAACTGAGGTAAGTAAAAAATTTTTTAAAATGTGGAAGTTTTTTAAAAGTATTCATTTGATTATTGTAATTCTTATTTTACAGATACCTGAACCGGAAATCGAAAATAGATTCGATTCTAATAAGAGAATGACTGTTAAAAAGCTTGAAAGAAAGTATTCCAATATTTCGTGGAGGAAAATTTTTAATTCCAGGCTACATCCATTCAATGAAGTTAGAGATGATGATATTGTAGTAGTTTCGGATATCAGCTTTTTCAAAAAATTTAACGAACTTATTAATAGTGTTTCAAAAAATGATCAGGCAATTTTTCTTCTATGGGGAGCAATTAAAAATATCTTCGATAAAAATTATCAAATTAGTTTAATTAGAGAAAATAGAATGAAATTTTGTTTCGAAGATATAAAATGGAATTTCCCTACTGTTTGGGGTGATCTTTACGTCAAAAATTACTTTAATGAAACAGTTAATAAGAAACCCATTGAAGAAATGTTTACTAATATTTTTCATCAGTACGCAACAGTCTTAAAAAATGTAATAATACACTTACAAAATGACTTAAGATCTAATGGTAGCAATTTATTAAAATTCGTATTCCATCCACAATTAAGTTGGAATATTGAGACAATATTATTGCTAAAAGTTTAGTTAAAAAGTGAATTTACTAATCCATTTATTAATCCTAATTCAGGTGGATTGGCTAGATAACAAGACAAAGGATAATGCATTAGAAAAACTAGCTTCAATGTACGAAAATCGTCAAATAATTTTCAAAGTTCCTACAGAGAAGGAATTTGATGAATATTACGCAAACTTGGAAATTACATCAGGAGATTATTTTCAATCTATTTTAAATATCACGAAATTTGCTAGAGAATTAAAAGCTAGTTTATTCAGAGTGCCTTTAAATAGCTCAAACTTGATATTTCGACAGAACTCCGCAGATGTGAGAGCAATAAATATATTGCAGCTGAATAGTATTGGTTCGTAGATAGTTAGATACTTTTGCATATCCATACTTTTATTTTGATATTCTGTAATTAAATTTAATAACATTTGGTAAACAAGTCTTTAAATATTCAACTTTATTTAGGTATATCACCGGGCATGTTGCAAGAAAATATTTTTAATGTAAACAGACCAATGTACATGAATTACGGATCAGCTGGATTTATGGTTGCCCATGAGTTTTCTCATGGTTTTGATAATCAGGGTAGAAAGTTTGATAAAAATGGAAATTCCGTTGATTGGTGGCAAGCTACAACTTATGAACAATTCATTTCAAAGGCACAGTGTTTTATTTCTCAATATGGGAATTACAGAGATGAAGAAGTTAATTTGAGTGTAAGTTGAAAAAGATATTTTCTTTACTTAAAACTATAATTGATGTCTTTATTTTATACCTACATTTCACAGGTTAACAGCACCCTAACGGAAGAAGAAAATATTGCAGATAATGAAGGATTAAAACTTGCATATTTAGCTTATCAAAAATGGGTAGAAGATCATGGACCAGAACTTTTGCTTCCTGGAATTAATTATACACAACCGCAACTTTTTTGGATTAGTTTTGCGCAAACTTTTTGTGAGAAGGCATCTCTGTTTACTAAAAAAAGACTATTATTAAATGACGTACATACTATAAAAGAATTTCGAGTCATTGGTTCTGTTGTGAACCGACCAGAATTTGCAAGAGATTTTCAATGTCCCATAGGTTCAAAAATGAATCCTGAATCAAAATGCTCTCTTTGGTGAACGTTTACTTCTTGAATTAGATTTTAAAGGTTTATTAAAAACATCAGATATGATTGTATTCGTTATAAATAAATTTTAATATATTTACAATTTTATTTACGCCTCTGAAAATCGTTTCGATTATTCATTTTAACACTTATTTGTTAATTCATATCCAAGTTATAAAATTTTTACAAAATGAATTTATTAATTTAAAAAAAGGAAAAGAAGACACAAAAATGTCAGTACAACTAGAAAACATACAAGAAATAATAAAACAATCAAAAATATTCTGCAGAATTTTTCAACTTTTTTAATCAGTTGCAAGTGTGTAATATTTTTTCATTCTTTCCTCGCATTCTGCGTCACAATCAGCATTACTTAAATATTCAGCATTGCCAATGAGTTCTAAATCAACAATATTCCTAAATTTCTGTAACGAATCAAACACTTCTGTTTTGTTTTTATTAATTAAGTCTAGTTTAATGGTCCATGTCGCGTATGGACTTAACATATATGGTCCTTTGGACAACTGATCAACGAGATGTATTTCTCGATCAGTAGAGTTTGCTGCATAATATAACTCTAGAGCAGTTGGAGTATTTTTAATTTCATATGTGAAATTACCGAACATATACTTAGAGTCTCCATGATGCTTCAGGTGGACATCAAACTGTCTCAACTGATTGTTTAATTCCTCTTGCATACTTGAATTTCCAGTAGTAAACAATATTTTAATACGATTAAACTTTAGAGCATAGAAATGCAAATCGCTTTTACTGATATTTGCAATAATTGTCACTGTCTCATTGTTTAGAAGATTATTAATCGCTTCTCTATTATCCTCATTTCTCCAAATGTAAAAGGAATTACTAGAATCTACAGATTTAGAACCTCTAAAAACTACTGTCTTTTTTCTCTCGGTAAACTTCGAAGAAGCAGAATTTGCTATTATCGAGTTAATATTTCTGGATATAAAATCTGAAAACTTGTAGATACCGTTAGCTGTATGTTTCTCAAAGTCTTGCAAGTTTTCAAAATCCAGTCCCGTATAAGGAAAAGCATGTTGTTTGAATGCAAAAATCCATTCTTGATATTTTTCCCCAACATTATTAGTCGACATAAGAAGCTGCAATTCCGATAAAGCATATCTTAGGTTAGAATCATGGATTTGTAAATTACTAGCATGGGCTACGTGAAGATCCGTTTCGTCATTTTTATCTTTCTGTTTGTCCTTCGTCTCCAATAATGATTCATGTATTTTGAACAGTAAGTCAAAAGTTAGGATAAGCTTTTCAAAGGTAGTGTTCATGTCGTCATTTACCTTGAAGTTTTTAGTTACATTATTCAAAGTGCGTTTTATGTCATTAATGATACCGGTGACATTCCATTTTGCAACTTCTTGTTCGAATTCATTCATGTTTTCTAGATCGTCCGCTACCTTTCCTATGTTTGTTTTCATGCTGTCTAGAAGTGGTTCAACTTTGGTATAAATATTTTCTTCTATAACATGAAGTGACGCTAGAGCTTTTTCACTTTTGTTCAGTGCCATATCGATTTCTTTGATTTTTTTCTCGTCTTTCATAATATTGGTAACTGATTCAGATCCTTGTTTAAAAGCTTCTGTTGTTATTTTTAGGTACTTTGAGATTTTTATACCAATTGCAATAGCGTCGAGCTTCTTTGAATCGGGTTTGTATTTTGACTCTTCTAGTTCCTTCAAAGCTGTTAAGTTTGATTCATGTTGCGCGTATATTTGGACCATGGAACTTGTTTTTGTTAAAGGTTTTTCGTTATTTCGGTATGTTTCTGTTGCACTCCATACTTGATTGATGATATCGATTCCGTATGGTGTAGTACTTTCTTTTGTATCGTTGATGAATTTTTCCTGTTCCTTGATTATGTCTTCTTGTTTTTTCTTTAAATGGGCGAAATAACCTTCTGATTCTTTTGTTAAATTCTCTAGAGCTTTTGGTATTACGGCTACCAGAGCTGCAGTATCGTCAGTCGTCTTTGCTTCAATTACTGTAACTACAGAGGCAGCTATTCCTCCTACAAAACCTAGTGCCGGATTTATTACCCCAAGTGCAACACAACCTACTTTTAAGATTCCAAAAAGTGCTTTAAGCTGCATAGTCTTTCCTAATTTTTGACGATTTTTCACCAATTCGGTTTGGTTGACTTGAATTTCCTTCTCCAGTTCGGTGATCTCGGTGAGTAGGAAATCTAACTCTGTATCTAACGTGTCCTCTAGATCAGAAATTGCGTTAAGTGCCACATCGTTGATTAGTTTCTTACCAGCTTTTATCTTCTCCTCTAGTAAATACATCTTTTTCTTGTGGAGATTTAAAATATTATTGGTCCATTTAAATTCCTTTAGGTCCGTTATCATTGGCAGTAAATCAAGCTGTATTTTATCTTGAAATTTAGGATTTACTTCATAATTCAAATCAAGTGATTTTACTGATGTAAGTCGTTCTGCAAAGAATAAAATATAATTAGAATTACGATTTTAATTTTATAAAAAATACGTGTGTAATAGGACTATACTTACTTCTTGTGTCAGCTTTTAAGTCTTCAATTATATTTCTGTACTGTTCAGCATCTTCTCCTTCAAGAGAAATTCCACTGTATGTGTCAATTCGTTTCTTTAATTGTTCATACGAATAAGTAAAGTTCATCTTTTTGCCTAAGGAAAATAGTTGCTTCTCTAATTCTATAAAATCTTCAACTAAAGTTAATGTATCGTACAGTTTGGTAATATTTTCCTGAGTATTTAAGTTGTTATAAAATTTCAACAATGAGGTTTTACCAGTGTAGTTGGAATCAGCCAAGTATGGCCTTACGTACATTTTGTATCTGTTGATTGAAGCAGGAAAGCTTTGCGCAATATGTGAATCATCTGCAGCTTTTTGCATTTTTAGACTTGTGCCTGATTTTCCTCTTAAACCCATTTTCCCTCTACCTGTATCTGTAGGTAACTTTTTCCAACCATATTGATCTATAAATCCCAAGCCTAGTGTAATGCTACAGTTTGTACTAACAATTTTACCATTCCTACCACCCATTCCAGGATTTCCGCCTGTACCATTCGATCCTAATTCACCATCAACAGCAGAAAAATTAATCAAACTTAAATTTGGTTTTGATAACTCGAGAACAGTAGTGCGACCTTTTTTTCCACTTAATCCACCAGCTCCTCCATTACCACCTCTTCCACCAAACTTGCCTGTTTTTCCAAATACTTTATATCTTTCGTATCTTACGGAAGACCTGGGTATTGTTGACCATGTTGGCACGACCGAAAAATTCCATCCTGGCAACGTCGAATTACAAGCCAGAGCAGGCACTCCTTTATAGTATTCTCCTGCCGCACCATCAACCCCATGTCCCCCATGTTGACCACGTCCTCCTCTTCCTCCATTAGCCAGAACAGTCAATTTTTCAGCATTTATAATGTTGTCTGCAACTCCATAGAAATTTCCAGCAGGTCTTCCTGGTTTACCAGCCAGACCATGGGCACCATTTCTATTTCCCTTCTCAGTGCCATTTTTCGCTTGTTGTTCTTCATAATCAGTTCCCTTACTACCACTCAAGTTAATTAATTTACCTTCAGAAGTTTCAAATGATTCAATCACTTCCCATATTGGTGCAATGATTATAAGTTCAATCTCCTTACCGATAAGTATCAAATCTTTGTCAATAATTACTTTATCAAGTGCAAATATTTCAATAACTTTAGGGTCCTCACTGCATGTCTGAAGGTTCACATCACTGAGTCTAACAGCATTTCCCCTCACAACCAATTTATATTTCCCTTTCGTAACGTTGCAAATCTGATCAACTTTTCTTTGTCGAAAAAGATCGTATTCATCTCTTTGGTACCAGTTTTGTATGGAATCTTTATGTTTCAGATCGAATGCTGCTAAAGGCGACCTCCACTCAGAAGAAGCAGTTACAAAATCTTTATCTTTAGCCAAAAAGAATATCAAGTCTATCATTTTAGAATTTGGTTGTAAGAAATTCGACGTTGGAAATAAATTCAAATTTAAGATATACTCAGGTTCTTTAAGACAGACAAAGAAGTTGTCAAAGAATTCTTGGAAATGGGTTGGGTTCGTCTTTCCAAAAGTCCAAAGACAATTACACATTGTAGCCACAATGTCCGAGTTATGTGCTTGTGGAATGATAACTGATAAGTTTTCCTTTAACTCATTCATGTCAAACTCAACTTGTTTGGAAACATATTCTACTCCACATTCTTGTAAATGTTTAATCTTTTCACTAAAATTGAATTCATGAAATGAATCGGTCTCCTTTTCATTATTTGAAAAGGGTTTCAAATAGATATCCACTGGATTATTTTTGGATGAATTAGAAAAGATGTCAATTGAAGCTTTATTATCAGATTCAAGAAAGCTTTTAATGTCAACTCTTTCTGATATCTTTGACACATTCTCTATTTCTTTCAGTAGCTTTTCATGATTGACATTTTCATTTTCCAAAAGTGTCAATGCGAAAGCAGTGTTACTAGTTGATAGGTAACCATCAGGAAGAATAAGTGACATATTCTTAAAAATGTCTACAGCATTTTCAACACTATTAGCATGAATGAGAAATTTAACTTTGCTAGTAGAACGTAAAAGTAATACAGTTGTAAATGTTAATAGAACATCGTTGTTGAATATTCTATGCAAAGGTTCAAATACCGATTCCTCTTGTTTCAATGTTTGTCGTAATGGTTCGTACATATTTTCCTCCGAGTCTGTCAATACAATAATTCTACTGTTAAGATATGGGATCTCTATTTCTGAGATATTTTTCATAATTGATAAAATATCACTTCTTTCGGATTCAGTACAGTTTTTGTCCTGAAATAAAAGAGTGAGCTTATTTTTATAATTCGAAAACAAAATTATATTTTTACATTAAAATACATTAAATCTCTAGATTTAAAAAAAAATTTTTATTTTTAAAAAAGTTTTAAAAAAATTTTAAAAACCAGTATTTATATAATTTTTTCAAAATAAACTTACGGTAGCATTGTATCTTGCGGGATTGTCATATATAGTGCCTCTAACAGCAAGCGATCTATAAATGATGGAATTAACTGACACTACTGACAGTAGTGTCAGAAATAATACTTTTTCGAAAATCATTATTGTTTCTGATGGAAAAGTCTCAAAATCCATGACTTTATATACCATCTACTTTTTTTGATAAAAAATTAAAAAAAACAACTTTACAATGCATAAAATTAATTTTTCTATTTACAAAAGAAAAAACATTTCATTCTTATGTTAAAAATTGTCTAGTTTTCCATTGTAATTTAAAATGTAAATTTATGCGTTTATATCGGAAAAATTGAAAGGGAAATAATTTTTTTTATTTATTTTTCAAAATTAAAATTTTTTATATTATTATATTATCTATTACAAGCGTCATTAGAAATCATTAATTCAATTTTGTATATTTTAATGTTTGTTCAATTTGAAATAGAACAAGGAAGTAATTTTCGTTACAAAGTTATTTTACAAGTATAATAAGTTTAAATATCATTTTTATAGGAAAAATTTAAGTTCTATAATGCGTTTTATCAAAAATAATAAGAAATAGAAAAAAATTTTACTAGAAAATAATATTCAGTAGAAGAAATTGTTTTGCGGTAAATAAAATTTACAGGGTTGCCACAATCTGAAACTTTTGCAAAATATTTAATAATGGGGAGGGAGGGGGGGGGGGTTTATAAAGTTAAAAAAAAATATTTGCGAAGAAATTACATCAATTCGCACCATTAGAAATTTTCTTTTGCAGTTTGACAAATTTTTTAAATTTGTATTTGAAAATATATTAACTTTATTATTTCAAAATACGTTTATTAAACCAAATGTAAACTCGTAAAGTTCCAATCAAATATTTAAATATAGATAAATGTGGATTGTCTCAAGTGTTACAGATGCTAATTTGCTTACTTACGTCAATTAAAATTCAAATATTAAAATTTTATTATTTTTTCTAGCATTAACGTATTTTCTAAGTAGATATTTTGAAAAGCTGTATAAATTTGAAAATATGCGATTAAAATTTAATTTAAATTTAATTTTAAATTTAATTTTAAATTTAAATTAAGAAGTGGGGGATTGAGAAGACAATGATTGGAATAAAAATGTTATAAACAATCAAATAACAATTTATTTACGTTCGACAATATAGTACTTAACAATCTACATAAGAAATGTAATATTTTACACTGTACAAAAATAGTATTTCTTATTTGGAAAAATAAATATATAATTTTTTAATTTTTCCTAAAAGCAAAGTTATGAATTACTTTATTATTACTAATGAATACTTTTAAAAATTTTGCGCGCAAAAAATTGTACAAGTTACACAAGCGTCCCATATGCCTAATAAATTTTTTGAAAAAAATCCTTATTTACAAAAAAGTTTATAATTTCTAACTTAATAAAAATATAATTTATTTACAATGATATGTGTTGATATTGGTTTTTGTATATAATTTATGTTCTTAAGCAAAACAAAAATATAGTTATTTCATATAATTGAGAACTGTATACAAAAGTGATTTTACTTTTCCTTAAGGGTGCCAACCTTGTAAAATATTTTTCAAAAATAATTAAAGAAATTCCACTATGAAATTTTCCACTTTATTAAAAACAATAATCGCAAATATATGAAGTCTTATTTAGAGAAAATATAATATACAATCTTTAAAACTAAAAGTTTTACAAATCATTTTAAGATGATGATGAAGTTAAACAAAATCTATCAAAATGCTTTTTAAAAAAAGTGAAATTTAGCTTATTTTTTTAGGGTTTATATATAATTCTCTTTTTCTTGCTGTTCATGTAAATTTTGCAATACTTTCGAATTTTTCTACAAAAAAAATTTAGATATGAAATAAATATTCTATATCCAGGCCTCGGATCGACTTAAACTTTTAAGACACAAAAAAAGTCGCTTTAGTCGATTAAAAATACAAAAAGAGTCGAAAAAGTCATAATATCCAAGACCTGCATAGAATCTAAAAATAAATTAATTTTATAATGTTGGCAGGATTACTTTTATGTTAATTATTGTTTAAACAATGTCAATAAGAGGATACTATGGAGAAAAACTCTCGCAATTAATAACCATTGTCTCTTTTCTATTCAGTATCTTTGGATTTCTAGCCATCGCGTTAGACAAGAATTGTCTGCTCGCTTTAAAATCCACACGATACAAAACTACGCACTAGACCTAATTAAAAAGTAATTAATAAAAATTCTCACAATTCATTGAAGAAATTATATTCTAAATTTTAGAAAATCTACTATTGATATTTCTTCACTGAAGAAATTATATTCGAAATTTTAGAAAATCTACTATTAATATTTCTTCACTGAAAAAATTATATTTTAAATTTTAGAAAATCTACTATTTATATTTCTTCACTGAAAAATTATATTCTAACTTTTATATATTTCTTCACTTTCTTTAATTATATTCTAAGTTTTAGATATTTCTTCATTGAAAAAATTATATTCTAAATTTTAGAAAATTTACTATTGATATTTCTTCACTGAAAAAGTGATATTCTAAATTTAAGAAAATCTGCTTAAATAGGCGCCAAGAATATTTCCCACTTAAATAAAGTGGGAAATATTTTTGACGCCTATTTAAGTAGATTTTCTAAAATTTAAAATATAATTTCTTCAGTGAAGAACTATGAATATATCTCTTGTGAGAATTTTTAACTTAAAATAATTGGAAGTATTTACAAATATAATTTCCATTGCAAGGAAGTAATTTCAGTCTGATTTATATACAATATTCGTCCACTAAAAATAAATTTGTTCATGCTTCAGAGTCCAAATTAAGATCAGCCTCAATCTCATCGGGACTCCTGAGATCGATGACAAAACGTTTTTTCGAATTAATACTTTGCACTTCGACTTTTTTTTGCGTCGATTTAATGTGCTGGGAATAAATCTGAAAGGCCGAAGCTAATGCGTAAGTCAATTGTCTCGCATGATGTTTCGATTCGCAAACAAATCCGTGACATTCGAAGGGCGAGAGACGGCGGAAGTTGTCGGTTTCCCTAACGACAATCATGGAAAAAACTCTCGTATAAACGAGATCCTGAACTCCATAGGAAATTGTCTCAATCGGATAGACCTTGGAGATTCCAGCGTCGAGTTTTTTCTTATTACCTCCCAATGGCAAGAGGGCAACGCCTTCATTCGAGACGACGAGCTTAATAAACGGTAGAATTGAACCGGCCGGTAATGATTTTGCCGCAGCCACCATATTATCGACTGGCTTGCGAGTGTGCTTTATACCCCAGAGGCCTCTGGCGTCGTGAGATCCGAGATATTTCACCTGAAATACTTGCGGCAAATCACTTGAACCTTCAAATACATTGTTGTTGATTGTCAATTTCGAGAGTTTCGAAGAAATAATGTCCTTCTTGCTTTCTTCACTCAGGCCTGGGGGATTGTCTTTCTTCATCTCGATGGAATTCTGAAACGTTGATGAATTAATATTTTTGTAAATTTTTTTTTTTAAATATGAAATTTCATTTATTACAAATAATGTACGTTACACTGCAAAAAGAAGCATCTTAATTTAAGATGTTTTGGTAGTCATTTTTAAGATGTTTTGGTAGTCACTTTTGAAATACTTAAAGTATCTTAAATTAAGACACTTGTCGTAACTTTTCGCAAAATATTAAAAGTGTCTTATTATTACATTTTTCAATAAATTAAAAATATAGATATTTAAAACGAACTATTATAATTCTCCTTCTTTTTTCTTAAATGACGTGAGGCTTTGCCAACTGTCAGAACAACAAACTATTTACTATTATAATATTGCTATATATTATTTATGACACATTGAAAGGTTATGTTTAATTATTTACAACCACAAACTATAGAATGAGAAGAATGTGTTTTTTCTCTTTCCTACTACTAACTAAAGAAAGATAGAGATGGAAATGGAGATAAGAAGTAAGTATAACCACCAGATGGCGCATTGGAGCGTATAGTCATTCCCAATAGGAAGTATGTATTCTTTTGTTTTTACGTAATCAATGGCAGAAACAAAAAAGTGACATGTCATTTGAGAATCAAAATTTTGATTTCAAAATCAAAACATCGGACAATTTTAATGTTAATTAATTAATTAAATTTATTTTTTAAATTCAATTTAATAAAATAATAAATAATATAATAATATATGGCATATAATGTATAATAATACAATATAAAGAATATAATAATAAAAAAAATAAATGAATGTAATTTAATTAATAAAAACTAATTTGAGTGGGGAATTATATAATTGTCTAATTCTATAGAATCAGTGATTATCTGAATAATTTTTTAGCAAAAAAAGATAATGCTTTATAATTTATAATCAATATCCTGTATTTTTTATTTATCAACATTTTAAAATGACATTAAATGTAGCTCCTGAAGTCAGCGTCGAAAACAAGTATTTTCTATTTTTAAATATGAAATTGGGTCTAATGTAAATTCTTTTATTCAACTAAAAGTTTAAATAACTTTTAGTGCAGTTTTTTATTTTAAAATCTTTTTAACAAGTGTTTTTAATTTCGTGAACAAAATTATATTCGACGGTCAGCGTCGACCATAATTTCAAGGACCTATTAAATTACAGTTTTATATTTTAACAAAAATAAAGTTAGTAAATTAAAAAATTGTTACTATTGTATTTTTTAAAACTATTTTACGTGAAACGATTCTACGAAAACCGCTTTACGTAAATCCGTAAAAAATTTTCGAACGGAATTTATGAAAATATTCCACATTGTATATTTTTGTAGAGTTTTTGATAACTTTTAAAGAAGTTATTGAAAACTATAAAAATATACAATATGTAGAATATTTGCAGAAATTATAAACGGAAATTTTTTATGGAATTCCTGTAGAATCATTTCACTTTATATAAAGGGAAAAAACAAAATCTATAATACATTACATTTAAATGAGCCAAAAATCACAAAATACATCACTTTTTTTTAATTACATTTTTTCAATTTGTTATCCAAATCACAAAGGAACTTCGAAATTCGGCTATTGTTATGATATGAAATACCCAAGATTTCATAATCAAAATACTCCATCGTATGGAGATAACCAGTTGGATAGTTACAATGCCATACGTAGTAAACGCTAAATAACAATAAAGTAGCTTTTGTGGCATCGGGTTCTGCAAGCTGAACTCTGGCCCCATCGCAGACAACTAAAACCTCGGCAATTTTTATCCCCGATGTGTAAACAACAAGCCTTGGCGAAGAATTTGTAGCCGTTAATAATGCGGTCGTACTCTTTCCTGCCTATTTGACATTAAAAAAATTTTTTATCAAATACATAAATTGAATATATATTAATACAAAAATATTATTACCTCTTCAATTGTGATCAATGGTTCATTTAGTTTACGATATTTTGCTAGCATTAACGTTTCATGAAGTTTTTGAACGACTTGAATTTTATGCACTTCAGTTTCAATCTTAATGTCAAAAAAAATCGCCACATTTCCTATCATTTTATCTACTAAATCACGTAATGAAATTTCGGTCTTGTCCCGGAGAAGAGAAAAGTCATGTATAATCTGAAATAGAAATATGATTTGAGAATAAAATATCGAGAAACTTGTATCAAAAAACAGAATAAAAGTAATGCATGTTCTTTTATTTCATAACAGATATTTTACATTAAAACTATTTCACCAAAAACCTGCTGAATAGAAGAAATAACAATACTTACGTATGTATATGACTGAAGCCGAGGATATTCTTTAATAACATCCCGCACATTCTTCGATTTGTTTTCAATCCATTCCCTGCGTTGAAAATATGTTTCTCTCTGTAACCGTTTAACGTGGTTTGATTCTTCACTGACAGAGCATTTTTTTAAAGCTGCCATAGCTTCATTGCTATCAGTTTCGCTAGATAATTTAATTTTTTTTGTAGGCGTAGAAGCCGAAACTGAATTATTTTGCCTTTTTTCACAAAGATTTGATTTTAATTGTTTTCGATTGCGAATTGCTGTTGTCATCTGAGTCTTCAAAACATCCTATAGGAAACCAGAAGTATTAATGAAATAAATAATAATTAATCTTTAGTAAATTTATAAAATACTTACGAAATTATTTTTATTGCCTCCTTTTAACTCGGGAAATGTCTCTACAATCGTTTTACAATAATTATCATATTCTGTGCTTGTGGGATCGTTGTTGGTTATCAATTGTAAATGCGTGGACCAGAAAGAGATGAATTCCCATTGGAATTCAAATACATCATCGTTTTCCTTTATTTTTAGTAGCTGTGGTGGTAACGATGGTAATTTTGCCGGATAATTAACGTGAGGAGTTTGAAAAGAATGTCCTTTTGATTTTGAAGTCGATGGCTTATGGTCATCAAGTACTTTCTGCAAGAAAGAGTATTATTGATATTAATAACTAAGTCGAATAACATACTCATTTGTATAAAACTCATTGACTTTAAAGTAAAGTTACTTGAACGTTAATAACTTCTTTCGTAAAAGTTCTCTGTGAGACGGTGTTTTCAATAATTGTAGGATTTTTTAACTCCGGTAGAATTTTGTCGTCACTTGATGTTAAATTTTCGACAAGTTTTCCATCAGACTTTTGTTTCGAAATTAAAACAACATTTAAGACACAATCATTTTCTATTTCATCGTCTGAATCAAGATCACAATATTGCTTAATTTTCTGATTTTCTTGTTGTAGAACTAAATATTTATTTTCAAACATAATATTGAGAGCTTTATCTTTTTCAGCAAATTTTAAAAGTGCTTCTTTTATACTTTGGCAATCGCTAGCACTTTCATCTTTATCAAATTTGATTTTTTTACATCGACTTTGATCGCCAGTGCCAATTTTACAGTACACTGATTTTAACGGCATTTTCACCACTTTCAACAAACAATTGGAACGAAAAACGGATTTTTGCAATATTTGCAAGCGAAAGCAGACGTTTCGGCGCGATGAGTTTCAGTTGGGCAGAGGTGGGAAACCTATAGTGTGAAAGTCAAGAACTATAAAGACCTGTTTACATACAGGGGCCAATCAACACATAAGGCCGCAGTCCCATGGCAGCGTTTTGCGTTGCGTTGTAATGAGAGAGAATGCAGCAAACGTATATTTGCGTCTTTTTCTCTCCCATTACGAAACGCAACGCAAAACGCTGTCATGGGACTGCGGCACCCGAGTGAGAGAGTCAGACCGTGCCATAAAGCTAGATTCACAGTGTTGATTGTGTCAAACCGGGCTTTATAGTTCTTTTTCTTACTATAGGTTTACTATCTCGCTGTATTATTCGTGCCAAAACGAAAGAAGAAAGAAGTAATTGTCGCTTTCGTTAACGCAAATATTACAATAATTCGTTTATCATTCCGATTGTTTATTAGTAGAAGGTGAAAATGCTGACAAAATCCGTGTACTGTAAAATTGGCACTGGCGATCAAAGCCGATGTAAAAAAATTAAATTTGATAAAGATGAAAGTGCTAGCGATTGCCAAAGTATAAAAGAAGCACTTTTAAAATGTGCTGAAAAAGATAAAGCTCTCAATATTATGTTTGAAAATAAATATTTAGTTCTACAACAAGAAAATCAGAAAATTAAACAGAACTGCGATCTCGATTCACAAGAATCTGTAGAAAATGAGAGTGTCTTAAATGTCTTATTAATTTCAATTCAACACTCAGATGCCAAACCTGTCGAAATTTCGACATTATGTGATTACAAAATTCTAGCAACGTTCGATGATCCTGTAATTAAAGAAAATACCTTCGATAAAACTCCCTTGAAAGAATTGATTAAGGTTGAGGTAAGTGTTTTTGCTTTAAGGTGAATAAATTCTATGATAAAATAAGAATTTTATACCAGTTAGATACTAATATTAAATACCCTTTCTTACAGCAAGTACTTGATAATCCCATTCCGTCTTCTTCAAAATCAAAGGGACCTATCTTTCAAACGCCTAGAGTTAACTATCCGGCAGAATTGCCATCATTACCAACACATTTGAAAAAAATAAAAGCCGATGATAAAGTGTATGAATCCCAGGCACCATTTATATTCTTGTGGTCTACGCATCTAGAATCTTTAACCGATTGTATGCCAACGAAAATAGAACTTTTTAACTATTGTAAGACGATCGTCGATAGTTTTCCTGAGTTAAAAGGTGGCGAAAAGAATGATTTCGTAAGTATTTTATAAATTTACTTTAGCTTAAATTATGATTCATTTAGTTAATTTTTCTAAATTTTTGTAGGATGTTCTGAAGAATCAGATATCGACAGCAATTCGAAATCGACGATATCAGCGAAAAATAAAATTAAATAAATCTAAAAAAACTCAAAATAATTCAGTTTCGGCTTCTACGCCTACAAAAAAAATTAAATTATCTAGCGAAACTGATAGCAATGAAGCTATGGCAGCTTTAAAAAAATGCTCTGCCAGTGACGAATCTAATCACGCGCAAAGGTTGCTGAGAGAAACCTATTTTCAACGAAGGGAATGGATTGAAAATGAATCGAAGAATGTGCGGGATATTATTATAGAATATCCTTGGCTTGAATCATATGCATCAGTACGTATATTTAATATCCTTTCGTTAATTTATCTCCACAAATGACGAAAACTTAAATTGACTTCACAATTTCGTGCTTAAAATAAATAGATTACTTTTAATAAAATAGTTTTACCATAAAATGTTTGAGAAGTTTTAGTTTTAATTTTTTTAATTAAACTAATTGAAATTCGTTAAATATAAATTGGGTTAAATAAAAATTTCGTCAAGCAAAAATGCGATTTGATATAAATTTGGTTAAACACAAATTTTAGTATTTTAAATTTTTATTGAAATAAAAATCTACTAATAAAATAACTATTCTAATCAGGCCTGATTCTAATTATCTAATTTAATTTACCTAAATAAAAATTGGTTCAAGTTCAAATTTGTTTATGCTGAAAAGAAATACAATTAAATGAATATTCTGATAAATAAAAATTTGACTAAATGGAAATCCAGTTAAAAAAATTTCTCTATATAAAAATTTGTTTAAAAGAAAATCCCGCCAAAAATCAATTCATTACAATAAAATTTAAATTACATAAAAATTCTGTTCAACATAAATTTGTTTACGTTAATATAAGCTAAAATATAAATTCGATTATTTAATCAATAAACATAAATTTGTCCTATGCTTTCGTAAAATAAGAATTTCGATAACTTTCAAATCATATTTCTATTTCAGATTATACTTGACTTTTCTCTTCTCCGGGACAAAACCGAAATTTCATTACGTGATTCAGTAGATAAAATGATAGGAAATGTGGCAATTTTTTTTGACATAAAGATTGAAAGTGAAGTACATAAAATTCAAGCTGTTCAAAAACTTCATGAAAATTTGATGGTAGCAAAAGTTAGTAAATTAAATGAACCATTCATCACAATTGAAGAGGTAATGTAATATTCTTAAATGTGACGCGATCTGAAGAAAGGGACCTTAGAAGCAAAAAATTATAGGTTATGTTTGCAATTTTTTAAATGAAAATACAAAAAAAGGATCAACTGTCAATATAAATCATTAAAGTTTAAGTCTTCATTAAAACTAAAATATTTAATAAACACTGATTTTAATTCGAAATAAGTAAAAAGAAACTTTCAAACAAGAAAAAAGTAACTCTAACCCAACCTTAAAATGATTTGCTTCTAAGGTCCCTTTCTTCAGATCGCGTCACAAATTAAAATTTGAACTATTTTGATAAAACTGTTTTGCAAATGTCAGTCGTAAATTGCTACCAAAAATAAATTTTTAATTGTAAATAGGCAGGAAGGGATACGTCAAGTTTATTAACGGCTCCAAATTCTGCACCAAGGATTGTCATCTACACTGCGGAGGGCAGATTTGCTGAGGTCTTCGTTGTCTGCGATGGGGCCCGAGTTAAGCTTGCAGAACCCAATGCAACAAAAGCTACTTTATTGTTATTTAGCGTCTACTACGTATGGAATTGCGTATATCCAACTGGTTATTTCCATACGTTGCAGTATTTTGATTATGCAATCTTGGGCCTTTCACATGCGAAAAATAACCGAATTTCAAAGTTCATTCGTGATTTCGAGTATAAGTTAAACAAGTTCCAAGTTAAACAAACGTGATGTGTTGTTTGTAATTTTAGTTTTTCTTAAATGAAATATTTTAAGGATTTTATTTTTTTATTTAATTTAATGATAAAATGTGACAATTATTGAAAATATTAAGTTGTAAAAAATTAGAAACAATACAACAGTAACTGTTTTAATCTACGAATATTATTTTTGTTAATAAATTATAAAACTACGATTTAATGTTAATTTAAAGTGTTTATAAATAAAATATAATTTCATAATATAAACGTTAACCTAAAAAAAACTTTGTAATTTTTAGAGTAATGTAAATAGTTGAAGTAATTTTATTGCTTTAAACAATATTCAATTTTCTTAATAAAATTTGTACAATTTAGGCTTTTTTACTTAATTTACAATATAAGTAAATCATCCGTAAAATTCCGTTCGTTCGTGATCAAGTAAAATGACATACTTGCTGTTTTCAAATTCAAATTGAGGTATCGGATGTGGAAATATTAGATCCTTTAGCCTGATTACATTTTGAGAGATAATACAAGGTTTTCTAATTTCGTAACTATTTAAAGTTTCCTTGTATTGTATCGTATCTAAATTGATGAAAAGAAACAATATTATGTCGTCGATAACAAAGATTTCTTTAATTACTCCAAATATTGGGAGTGAATTTTCGTCGCATTCTAACAAAATTATTGATCCTTCTTTGTACTTTGTTCCGTGTGATTTCACTCGAAGACAGCGAGAAATAATAAAAGTTTCTATTTTATCTTGTGGAATGAAATCGAGAAGTAATTCCATGTGAGGCAAATTTCTCAATAGCAGTCTTTGACCCATAGTTATTTCATCTCCCTGATACAAGAATTTTTTGGATTCTCTTCCACGGAATGTAGCGAGTTGAGAACAAAGTCGCGCTTGATGTCGATAGCACAAAGTTAAGGACATGTTTTTAAAACTTCTAACTACCGGCACTAATTGCTTGAAGTAACCGTGTTCTCTTTCGAAACCGAAGCACCACTGCTGACGAGCAGGACCAAATATTCGTATATATTGAGGCAAGTGCGTTATAAAATGAAACTTTGGTACAAGCCATTCGGGATATAAACGCTTGAATGTTAAATCAAATATTTCTATCATTCTCGCCAATACGTACGTAGTATTGAGATGAATTTCATATGCAAAGCAAACATTTACAATTTGTAACATACTTATATGAAGTAAAATATGCTCCAAATGTTCACTGTCGTCTTCTATAATCCATTCATTCAATAAAAACGGTAGGCAATGAGCAAGAGCCAATGTTTGCGACGCACTTTGCTTCAACTTCGAATCCCTTCTGAGCTGGTCTTCAAGAATCTCCCCAGGTTTGTTGCTTTTGAAATGACCAAACTCGAAATTTTTTATCTTTTCATTTAAATCCCCCACAGATAAAAGTTCCTCATCAATGATAAAGTACCAAAGAATAGCTCGAATGGTTACTTCCATCACACCTTCAGGAAATAAATGCATTGCATCTTGGGGAAGACATTTAGTCACGTCCATAATTTCGCATAAAGGAGATTCCGAATTTACCCCATAGCGCCGTTTCCAAAAAGAACTAACAGCATTGGATGCAGTTGGATCTGTTACAGCATCCACATGCTGTCGATGAGATTCTGCATTTCGATGGAGGAAGTCATCCTTAAAATTCGATTTCCATTCCTCTTTTCTTACTATACATGTTCTGCATAGGCGAATTGATGATACTGATTCCTTAAAACCACCTAAAAAAGCAGAAGCAGGAGTATCCCCAGCAGAGAATAATAAGGAACCTTTGAACAGTAATTCCTCGTTGTCAACTGTAATAGAAACTCCTCTCGTTCGTAATATTTTGATGTCCTCAATGAAAGGTTTAAGTAACTTTTCAAGTCCGAATTTTTTTATTAACTTCGCCTTAACTGCTGCTAACAAAAAAATTGAATTTTGACCCGATCGTAATTTTGGGTCTATGTTACCTAGAGTCCAATAAAACATTCCCAGTTTTTGTGTCGTCGCATGACTACCAAGAGGATTTGCAATACCTATTTCATCGTAATACAATATAACGGCTAGAGGATTTTCCATCTGTCGAAAAACTTCGTTTTCTTTGTAATACGATCCATCCAAAACAGTCCTAAGAACACCATCATTCACGAAGTTTCTTTCATTAATATTATCCCGAATTTCTTTGTTTAACAATAAATTTTTTAGATTTTTTAAAAATGGAACAATGAAAGCTTCCTCTTTAACTTCAATTAAATGTGGTATTTCTTGATTTTTTTTCTTCCACTTTAAGGAAACTCCAAGTGTCAATGGTTCGGCGCAAACCATTGACAGCTCATTAATTAAAAAGTGATCTAAATACCATTTAGATTTAATTGGTTCAAATACAAATGTTGGATCATATGTTTCTTCTAATAACCTTTCCAATTCGTTGACATTAACCAAATTTGTATTTGGATTTCTGCGATTTTTAATTTCATTCTGTAAAATAAATAATAATTTTAATTATTATTTTTCTCTAATACTTTTATCAATTTTTTTTATCAGCAATTTTATCACTTAATTAATTATTGTAACTAAAAGGAATTGTTAAAATATATCTTTGGAAATACGAATTGAAACAATTAAAGTTACTGGAATTAATTGGAAAAATGTTGAAAGTTACTTAAAATAAAAACATATAAAAAATATATTTGTGCTAAAGAAATTTATTTTTTCAAAATTGAAAAAATAAATTTATACTATACTTACTAATACGTTCGTCGCAAATACTTTCATTAACTCAGTTACTCCAGTTATAATTTTGTCAGTTGCAACTTGAGAAACTTTACAAGTTTCCCTTATGTCAACTATAAATTGAGCTGCTTTCCAATTTAATTCCTCTAAAGGTTCAACATTTTGATCTGCATTATCTATAAGAAAAATAATTAATATTAATTAATTAACACATGGGTAAATTCCATGGGAGCAGAAAGTGTAAAAAGGACTAAGAAGAATCTGACCATTAAATAGTAGGCTCAAAACAATACTTTGGTTTTTATTACAACAAAAAGTTTAATTACAAAGCGATTTGAATGATACATTAAATTATATTTTTAACGCTTTCTCAAGTTAAAATTTTTAAGTAATTGTATAAAAAATTAATTTAATTAACATCATAATTTAAAAAATATATTTTTATTTTCCTTTAAAACAGTAGGATAAAATAAATATCATAATTAATCTTACTTGGTGCATTTTGAACAATAACCACATTATTTGGTACGTTATCCACATTATTTTCTCCACCACCATTTTGCACAAGTGGTTGACGATGATAACGACTCTTATGTTGTTTATAGGAGCTCCACTTCTTAAAAGTAACTCCACATTGAGAATGATAACATGTCACTTTAAATAGTGGATCAAAACGGTGGAAACGTATAATATGTTTTTCTAAATGGCCGACAGTGAAACCGATGAAATAGCACATACCACACTTAAAGCGATCCATGTTTTATCTATTTTATTATTCTTATCATTTTATCTATTTTAAAATAATTGATCATAGATGATAAATATTTTGGATGCTTTGTTTTAAAAAACTAGAAACGTAGAATGACTAATGTAGAAGGGAAACAATCTTGTATTAACTGATACAATATTTCTAAAATTGGCCACCAGTTAGCGTTTCTAAATATGTCAACTCAAGGTGCAGCCACATTATGTAAGTTTGGGTTGAGTCCACAATAGGCACTTTTTTTAAAGCGATGCATACCCTCTTCTACATCGATTTCCATTGTTCGAACAATGGAAATCGATGTAGAGGGTATGCATCGCACTAGAAAAGTGCCTATTGTGGACTCAACCTTAAAGGCGATTCTCCAATATCAAGTTTTACGTCGACATGGTGGCAGGGTTGCGTAGTTACGCGTAATCTTGAGTTTTTGAGGTAATTTACCTGATGTAATTTACCAACCTAACCCTGCACGGTGGACGACTTTGGCTTAAAAGCTATTGTTGCCAATTGATTGATTAAGAGATTAAAATCCATAATAATTAATTAAAAATGAATGAATTAATAATAGTTAATTAACTATAAATCAATTAATTACTTTTATTACTAATTGATTAATAGTCATTATCACGACTAAATAACTTGAAAATTGGTGTAATGAAGAAGTGCCTTAAAAGATTAAAATATAACCACATGGAAATAAGCATTCTGTTTTGTTATTTTGTGATGAGAGCCTTTATAGGTTATGTACAAACGTCATTGTGTTCTTTACTGTTTTTACTTAATATAATAGTAAAATAATATAAAAAGTATAAATAAGTATAATAGTAAAATAATATAAAATAGTAAAAAAAATTCGTCGATATGCAGAATAATGTTGACACTTATAGTATCTGACATTTTAGTAACTTGCAGTATAGACGTATCTTACAATTAACCTGTAACTTATAGCTCAAATATCTTATTACATCTAAAACATCTTACAATAAGGTATTTAGTCTAACTTAACCAAGTATCTTATTTTTTAAAACAGAACAAACGTTTAAATATTGCTTAAGATGTTAAAATTGTCTTAGATTTCAATAAGATACTTCACAAACTGTTCTATTTTAAGATGTAAGATGGCATTTATCCATCTTACATCTGATTTTAAGATACTAATAAAAGTACTTCTTTTTGCAGTGTAATTATATGTTTTATTAATAAAATAACTATTCTTAAAAATTATAATCAAATTTCTTAAAACGATTCAATTATTTTCGAAAAATATTCGAAATTCAATTATTTTCCATATCTAGAATTTCATAAAATTTCGCAAATTCAATTATTTAAAAAAAAATTTATAAAATTGATCCAAAATTCAATTATTTTCATAAATAATAAAATTGCCACAGAAATTCAATTATTTTCAAATATTTTAATAAAATTTTTCGAAAGAAATAAATTATTTTAAATTCAATATTAAATACATTTTTTAAAAATAATTCAATTATTCTTTTAGATTTTAATAAAATTCTTCCCTAGAACTCAATTATATACATAAATTATTCTTCGAAAGAATTCAATTATTAAAGATAAATAACAAAATTATTCTGGTAAATTCAATTATTTTGAGTCAATTTAATAAAATTCTTTGCAAAATTCAATTATTTTCATAAATAACAATATTCATCACAAGAATTCAATATTTTTAAAAGTAATAAATTTCTTCATGTCAATTTAAGGCTATGTCCAAGTTGTGAAATGTAAACAAACCAAAAGGTCACTACACCAGCACTAAAAACGCAATTTTGTGACATCCAATTCTCCCACAAAAAATAACATTTTTACACTTTCTTTACGAAAATGGAAAATTAGAGTATCAAAGTTTCCAAAAAAATCATTTTTGACTATGAGCAATAAAAAGCAATTAGTAAAATAACTAATTAAAATGACCTGTAAAATGGCATTTTTGACGCGTCGCGAAAAATAAACTGTTTGAGTATATCAACCGCACGGATGATGAAGACGTTCCATGTCAGCGATTGGACCTTCAACATGTGGAAAGGGAAATTTTTCCCTTTCCTCCTTAAAATTACAAGAGAAAGGGTAAAAACTTCTTCATCGTCCGTGCGGTTGATATAGTCAAACAGTTTAATTTTTCGCGACGTGAACTCTGTTGCTCGCTGCGCGTGCGCAGACCGTACCAAGGTCGCAATGACACTGCCATGCAAAAAGGCACATTTTTTTTTTTGACTGAATTTCAGTGGTTTTCTTATTTTTTCAGTTATTCAAAGTTTAGTTACCAAATTCGATACTTTAGTTCACCATTTCTATAAAGAAAATGTGAATTTATCTTTATTTACGCAAATGGGAACCGCGAAAAAATGCTTCACTATTCGGTCTATAATGGGGCATTTTTTCGCTGTTCGCATTTGCGTAAATCAATATAAATTCACATTTTCTTTATGGAAATGGCGAAATAAAGTATCGAATTTGGTAACTACACCTTGCATAGCTGAAAAAAATGAGAAAATAACTAAGTTTCAGTAGAAAACAAAATGTGCATTTTCGCATGGTGCTGTCAATGCATTCTTAGTTTTGGTTTTGAATGATACTCAGTGGTTTTCTCATTTTTTCAGCTATGCAAGGTGTAGTTACCACATTCGATACTTTAGTTCGCCATTTCCATAAAGAAAATGTGAATTTATATTGATTTACGCAAATGCGAACAGCGAAAAAATGCCCCATTATAGACCGAATAGTGAAGCATTTTTTCGCGGTTCCCATTTGCGTAAATAAAGATAAATTCACATTTTCTTTATAGAAATGGTGAACTAAAGTATCGAATTTGGTAACTAAACTTTGAATAACTGAAAAAATAAGAAAACCACTGAAATTCAGTCAAAAAAAAAAATGTGCCTTTTTGCATGGCAGTGTCATTGCGACCTTGGTACGGTCTGCGCACGCGCAGCGAGCAACAGAGTTCACGTCGCGAAAAATTAAACTGTTTGACTATATCAACCGCACGGACGATGAAGAAGTTTTTACCCTTTCTCTTGTAATTTCAAGGAGGAAAGGGAAAAATTTACCCTTCCACATGTTGAAGGTCCAATCGCTGACATGGAACTTCTTCATCATCCGTGCGGTTGATATACTCAAACAGTTTATTTTTCGCGACGCGTCAAAAATGCTCTTTTACAGGTAATTTTAATTAGTTATTTTACTAATTGCTTTTTATTGCTCATAGTCAAAAATGATTTTTTTGGAAACTTTGATACTCTAATTTTCCATTTTCGTAAAGAAAGTGTAAAAATGTTATTTTTTGTGGGAGAATTGGATGTCACAAAATTGCGTTTTTAGTGCTGGTGTAGTGACCTTATGGTTTGTTTACATTTCACAACTTGGACATAGCCTTAATTATTTTTGAAAATTTTATAAAAAGCGTTCGCAAGAATTCAATTATTTTCATTTCATAAGAATAAGAAGATTTCATTTCATAAGAAATTTCCAAATAATTGAATTTGAACCTTTTCAAAATTCAATTATTTAAATACAAAAATTTGTAATTTATTAAATAATTGAATATTTCTTCAAATAGAATTTTTATGAAGAATTTTATTAAAATTTTTAAAAATAATTAAATTCTTTTGGTGAATTTAAAAAAAACTTTTACGAATAAGAGCAATTTTTTATCATTTTATTTAAAATTGAATTAAAAAATAATTGAAAATCTGCGATAAGTTTTGTTATTTTTGAAAATAATTGAATTCCTGCTACGAATTTTATTAAAAAATTTTTTAAAGAATTGAATTCCTGAATTGAATTTGTGAAAATAATTGAATTCCGGAGAAAAATTTTATTATTTATAAAAATAATTGATTTTTTACGAAGAATTTTTTTCAAATATTTTGAAATAATTGAATTCCCATAAAAAATTTGTTATTTGTGAAAATAATTGAATTCTTAAGAAGAATTGTATTGAAAATAATTTAACTATATCAGAAAATTTTATTAAAATTGCAATTTTATTCACTAAATCTTGTAAAGAATGTTGTCAAAATTTTTTTAAATAATAGAATATTTTAAAGAATTTTATTTAAATTTTTCAAAATACTTGAATTTCTCAGAACTATTTTCTTAAATTCTTTGAATATAATTACGAAAAAGACACTAAAATTCAGAATTTTCTTATGAATTTAAAAATTTTAATTTTTCCACTACTTTTAATAAAAATCCCAGACTTTTTCCTGATCTCAATCGTTATTTATTATAAAAATACAATCTCCTTAGTTATTTAGTATAAAAACATAAAAATGAAAACAGAAAGAAAATAGTTTTTCGTTTAAAAAAATAAAGTATTTAACCATTTAAAGGAATCATTTATTAAGACTTTCACTCTGTGGCGGAAATGAATTTATAAGTAATTATGAATTCAATAACTCTCTTCTCAACTCCTGGTTAAATGCAACTACCAAATAAAAATTAAATATTGAAACGAAAGCAAACATTGACACGAAAAAAAATAAATTTTAATAATTATAATTCAATCAAAAAGGAGGCTTTTTAATTTTTTCTCCTTAAAACGCACTTTCTTCACCAAAATTATATAAAAGAGAATTTAGTATTATAGTAAATAAATATAATACAAAAGTAAATAATTAAAATATAAACTAAAAAATATACAAAATATGAACTATAAATTAAAATAAAACTGAAGTTTATAAATAAAGTAATAAAGGTTATAGATATCTTCAGTATAATGAAGTTTATAAATAAAGTAATAAAGTTTATAAATATCTTCAGTATATTGAAGTTAATAAATAAAGTAATAAAATTTGTAGATATCTTCAATATATACTGAAGTTTATAAATAAAGTAATAAAGGTTATAGATATCTTTAGTACACTGAAGTTTATAAATAAAATAATAAAGTTTATAAATATCTTTAGTATACTGATGTTCATAAAAAAAGTAATAAAGTTTACAAATATCTTCAGTGCACTGAAGTTTACAAATTTCTTAATACTTTTTCAAACACTGAAGAAAGAACAAAACAAATATTTATTTAAAAACTAGTTAAAACTATTGAAAACTGTTTAATTTTGTATATAGTAGAGACTATAGTGAAGAAACTAAAAAATAAAATGCACAGTGAAATCAGTTGCGATGTAAAAGTGTTATAAATATTTACACTTACGTGTTGAATGTCCGTGTCCTTCAGGCACTGTGGCTTCACTTTCAAATGATACTCAACCACGTTTGGTATGTTCGGCGTGTCACGAGCAACTGAGGTCTCCGTGTGTTGCCGTTTCTCGAGTAAATCGCTTCCGGTTTCCGGTGAAGTTGTGCCTCCCTTCACCACGCCTTTCGACGGTGCCAGAATGAATCCGCTGCTTGGGTTGGGGGTGTTTTTCAAAGAAGCTAATGCTGCTGTTCCTGCTATTGCCGCCGTCTCCTTGGAGCACTGCGCTCTACGGCACTCCCCCCTCTCCTCCTCTTTCTTCGTCATTCCTTTTGTAACCGCCGTTCGTGACGTCAACACCTTGCGCAGGACCAAATCGTCACGTCTTGTAAATCCAAAGCCATCGTCCGCTAGTTCCATTATTTCTGCAAGCAATTTCTGTTTAATATGGCTAAAGTCAAAATATTTTCATTTTAAACTACTTTTGCATGGTTTGCTAGATTTTTGCTATGGTAAAAAAAAATAAATAAAAAAAAAAGTAAAAAAAAATTTTGAGGATTTTAAATATATTTGTCATTATATATTGTCCATGGTCAAGGGGGTAATTACTGATTAAAATGGTGTACACTCTAATACACTAAATTTCCCTGCTATTACGCGTATTATCCAGTATTACAGGGTATTACAGAACTATTACAGGGTATTATTGATTATTACAGAATATTACCTCTATATTATGTGGTATTACACTGACGTAATAATGCTCTATTACACACTATTACGTGACTATTACATGACTATTACGTGAGGAGCGTACACGCTAATACACAAGTAAATACCCCCTCGTCCATGGTACTCTAATTTTTACCCATAGTCAAAATAAAAACTTCGCACTCGATAATTAATTTTAAAAAAGTAGCTTTCAAACTAAAAAAGGAAGTAAAAAAATACCTATCGAAAAATTAAACTCGACGATCAAAAAAACTCGTTTTAGACATTTTACAAAACGGTCAAAAATTCCATTCCATATTTTTTATTTTTCTGACTTTTTCCTAATTTTTATAATGTTTACAAAGAATTCAATTAAAATTTTTAAGAGTAATTAAATGTCTGTATGGTAGTTTATTAATTTTTTTTTTAAAATAATTGAATTCCTAAAAAGCATTTTATTATTTATGAAAATAATTGAATTTTTGGAAACGATTTTATTAGAATGTTTTTTATTCTATTAGAGAATCTATTTTATTTTATTAGAATGTTTTTAAATAATTGAGTTTTCAAGAAGAATTTTATTAAAATATTTGAAAATAATTGAATTTCTGTGAAAAATTCTAATATTTTTTGAATAATTGAATTCTTTCAAAGAATTTAAAAAAACCATTCCTTTTAATTAATTGATTTTTTTCGAGGAATTAAAATTAAATCTTCAAGAATAATTACATTTTTTGAGCAATTCCTGTAAAATTGTATTAAAAATAATTGAAATCTTGAGATGAATTTTATTATTTATAAAAATAATTTAATATTTGCTAAAAATTTTATTAAAATTTTCAAAAATAATTGAATTCCTGAGAAGAATTTGATTATTTATAGAAATAATTGAATTACTGCGAAAAATTTTATTAAAATTTTCAAAAAGAATTGAATTTCTGTGAAAAAATGTGTCATTTTTGACAATAATTGAATTCTTCATAAGAATTTTATAAACATTGTTTTAAATAATTAATTTCTTTGAAATAAAATGAATATTAAATTTAATTTTAAATAATTGAATTCTTATGTGAAAAACATTATTTGTGAAAATAATTGAATTCTTGCTTAGAATTTTATCAAAAAATTTTTTAAAAAAATCGAATTTCCATGAAAAATGTTATGATTAATGAAATTATTTGAATTATTGTGAAGAATTGTTTAAGAATTTTGTTAAATAATTGATTTTTTCGAAATTTTTTTGAAAATGCTATTCTAAATTAATTGAATTCATGTGGAAATTTGATTGTTTATAAAAATAATTTAATTTTAGATGAATTTTATCAATTTTTTGCTTTAAATAATTGAATTCTTTTGCGAAATCTTATGGAAATGGTAGATATTGAAAATAATTGAATTTCGAAAATTTTTTGAAAATAATTGAATTGTTTTAAAGAATTTGATTATAATATTTGAGAAGTTTTTTGATCTCTAGTATTAGCGAATTGAAAGTAGTAGAAATTCCCAAAAAAATTCTTTTAATTTGAATTCGCAAAAAATATTTTATTAAGTTTGTATAAAAATTGCATTTTTTTGCTATAAAGTCAGATAGAGATTTCCTGCACAAATACCAACTACTAGATCAAGATACGAAATTTCGTTAAGTCGTAACGACTCCTTTTAAATTTAATCCGGAAACCAGCTGTTGAGTAGCACGTGCTGCACCTTGCAATCAGCATTGTGCGGCGAACCGTTTTTTTTTTCTTAAAGGCAACAGCTATACTAATCTATATTTACTATTATATTTTTTGTTTTTTATTAGAGACGATATTGTAATAAATAATACATAATTATAACAGTGTTGCATACACGTAAATAACAATTTTCTAACAACTTTTTAACAATGTTAAAAATACCAAAAATGTTAAAAACTTAAAAAATATGTTATATAGTACTTCAACTTAAAATATTAAGTCACAAAAAAAAATAAAAATATATACAATTTGAAATTTAAAGTTAAAAAAAATGTAAGTAAATTCAAGTGCAAAATGAAATTTTTATAAATTCTGTAAAAAAAACGTTTTTTAGAGATAAATATGCGACAATGAGAATGAGGTATTAAAATATTCAAAGAAGGGCAGGAAACGAATCAGGTGACTGTAAGGTAGAATTCGTTAATATATTCACCGCACAGGTGTGTCGTTTCACTGAGTTTCACACGCACTTTACTTTTCCCTAATGTCTATTTTTAACTAAATCAAAAACAGCTAATGAATTATTTAAAAAATGTCCGTTAATAGTTTCCCATAAAAATTTTTCACCCTTTTCAACAATTTTCACTATTTTTGCTAATTTTTAAATTTCTATTGAAAAAAACGAAGTCTGTCCCCTCGTTTACATCTTAAAATTAATTTTCATGTTTTATACAAAGAAGCAAATAGATTTTTTTTTAAACTTTTAATTTTTAAAAATTATTATTTTTCAACCAGTTTTATAATAATTCAAGGTTTAATTTTAAGCTGTAATTAAAGAATTTATATGATTGTTAAATTCAATGTTTTATTAAAAAAAAAAAAAAAAAAAAATTATATTTAAGGTTGAAAATTGAGTTTAAATGAATTTTCTTTTCTTTAAAAAGTAAAAGAAAAAGTCATCGGCAAAGATGAAAGTTCAACGTCTTATTATAGAATAGTAATTTTCTATACTACACCCGGTGTATATAAATATTGTGCAGCCTTACACCTGTCGTATGGTTATACCCACCTACAATATACCAGAACAAAAACGTTTTAAATTAATGTCTACGCGCTTTCAAGAATAATTTAAATGAGATTTATTTTACCCGTAACTTCAACATTTTTATTTACAATTTACATTTATTTATTACTATTATTATTTATATATATATTTCTACATATTTAATTAATTTAATTTTAAACATTTAAAAAAAGATTTCATTTAAACATTAAAAAAACATTTAAGAAACATTTAATTTAAACAATTAAACATAAAAAAAAAATTTTAAACAACTTAAATTTTTGAAAAATGTTATATTAGGATTTTCTTAGGACCCAAAGAAATTGTTTTCTTTAGGAGAAAAAAAAATTGTTTTATTTCGAAAATTCATGAAAAGCAAATTTAAATAATCAAGAAGAAAACAACTTTGACATTAGATTGTTGTGCGCAAGAGCGCAATTAATCTCAAATCGAAACCATCTGCAAAGCGGCTGAAAGCGATGATGCAATTGGTTATTACGGTCTTGAAGATTTCCGTTAAGCGAGCATCTTCTGTCTCATTGAAGGACAAGAAAATTGCTGAACAGTCGTGCGAAACTATCCAGTCCCCCTTAAAAAAATAAAAAAAAAATAAAAAAAAATAAATAAAAAAACGAACCAGGGGAAAATTAATCTTCTATATTTATCCACAGGAAGATCTCCCCCCCAACAATTACTTATTATAGCGCGAGGTGAAAAAAATACCCATTGAAATAGAAATAAATGTTTTGAATAAGTAAAAGGAAAATTATACTGTTTTATATACTGAATTAGCTAAAGTTTTCGAAAAAAGGCGTGTTTCCCGCCAAAAAGAAAGAAAAAAAATATAAAATAAACAATCGGCTCGTGCTCAGAGACCGTGAGTTGCTTTTACCATTGTCCGGCAATTTAAATTGTACTTGTGTGTATAAACACACGAAGCGTATGATTCCCTTTTCATTTCGAGCGCACGGAACAATTACGGGATACCGGAAGTAGCGTAGAACGGAAACCGGTATGTGCGAGTACTGCCACTGAGGAGTGGGGGTCTAACGATGCGTGGACATCCGTCATTTCGGAAGTTACGGATGATAGATGTAAAAAAGCAACGATCATCCTCTAACTATGTTAGAGAACTATAATTTTATCGCCTTTTGTCACTCCATGTGGAATTTTGCATAAGAAATTCATTTGACATTAAACAATTTATCAAAAATTTAATTTAACATAAATTTCAATTGACTAAACTATTTATCAAAAATTTCATTTGATATTAAACAATTTAACATACATTTCATTTGACATTAAACAATTTAACATAAATTTCATTTGACATTAAACAATTTATCAAAAATTTAATTTGACATTAAACAATTTAACATAAATTTCATTTGACATTAAACAATTTGACATAAATTTCATTTAACATTAAACAATTTAACATAAATTTCATTTGACATTAAACAATTTATCAAAAATTTAATTTGACATTAAACAATTTAACATAAATTTCATTTGACATAAATTTCATTTAACATTAAACAATTTAACATAAATTTCATTTGACATTAAACAATTAATCAAAAATTTATTTTGACATTAAACAATTTAACATAACTTTCATTTAACATTAAACAATTTAACATAAATTTCATTTGACATAACAATTGTTTACAATTTATCAAAAATTTAATTTGACATTAAACAATTTAACGTAACTTTCATTTGGCATTAAACAATTTAACATAACTTTCATTTGGCATTAAACAATTTAACATAAATTTCATTTGACATTAAACAATCTAACTGTAATTCATATCAAATCAATTTTATGTCAATTGAAATTTATGTCAAATGAATTTAAAGTCAAACTGTAATTTATATCAAGTGAATTTTATGTCAATTGAAATTTATGTCAAATGGATTTTTCGTCTTATTTATTCAAATGAAAATTGTGTCTTAAATAGAAAATCTCTGAAATCAAATTTCACGTATAGATAAAATATATGTTATAAAACATTATCAAAAAAGAAAAAAAATCAATTAAGTAGAAAAAAATGTTGATAAAAATTCCGAAAAACAATTCGCGAGATAAAAATTCAACAATGTTGAAAAATCCGAAAAATGAATTTCGATTAAATGAAACTTATCAAGATAAATAAAAATTGATTATAATGCAAATTTTTCGAATAATCTGTTAAATAAAAAACCTCATCCAACTTTTCGAAATAAAATTCTTTCGCAAAATATTCATATGTAAGTTTTTCAAATTTATATATTCTTCATTTTTCTTAATTTCACTTGGTAATAAAATATAGGTACTTAATAGTCAAAATTATTTACTCACATAAATAAAATCAATGCTGTAATTTTAAATGATAAAATTTTTTTTTTCGCAAAAAATTGTGCAATTATTGACTGTTATATGTAAATGCACTTCGGAGAATGATGGAAGGAAGTTGAACCGCACACCGGATCTTACTCTCGATTGACTGTCGATTATTGTAAGCCAAGCTGCTATGCTTTAGTCTTACAAGTATACATATAGATAGTGAAACGAAATAATCCCATGATCCTCAATGTTTCTCACGGTTACGGTGTATTCAATGATGATTTATTTTGCGAAACTACTTTTGACACTTTGCTTTATTTTTAATTGAGACTAATTTCCTATGAGGAATCAGATTATATTTCGATACTCTATTTTTTTTTTTTATTTTTTTTTTATTCATATTTTTATTTATTTTGTATTCATATTTTTATTTATTTATTAAATTCTTATTTATTTATTCAATTTTTATTTATATTTATATTTTCATTAAATTTTTATTATTATTATTTTTATAAAAAAAATTTTTTTATTTTTTTTTTCAAAATAAAGTCTTAGAGAGTGTCTTGATTTTGTTGAAATAAGCAAAAATTTGGTGTTTTACTTGATAATCTTTTCACCAAATTACGAAAAAATAAATATAAATCGTTTCGAAATTTGGTTTCTTTAGGAAACAATAGAACCAGATTTCAAATTTTTTCCTTATCTTGCAGTTATTTTTTTTAAGCAAACACTCGCACTGCTTTATCGAAAAAAAGATTATATAATGTAGAAAAAAAATGTTTTCAACTTAAAAAAAATCTTTAATCTACAAAATGCTTTTTATAGAAAAAAATAACTAATTTTTATTACTTCTAAATGCGGAATAATTTAAAAATTGATAAAGAATTTTTTTTGCTATAATTTTCATTTTTCGTCAAAAAATATTTATCAATTTTTAAAATATTTATCAATAATGATAAGGTTGTTTTATAAAAAATAATTTTAATGGTGTTGATTTTAAAAATAAGGTACATTACTATTGTCGAGGTCGTATAGTGTGTGCGAGCTGTATATAGGTGTGAAAACATCTTTATAAAAGTTCCCGATAAGTCGATAAGAATTTTAATGAATCATTTCTTATCTTTTTCCATTACAAAATCGCTAATAAGAATTATTCAGGAATCTTTACCGTGAACAATAAGCGAATAATGAAAAAGAATCTTGATTTTCATAGATTTCTGAGCACTGAAATTTTATATAATTTCACTTCATAACTTATTAATCCTTTTTTTTATCAATTTTTATCTAAAAATTGATTTTATCTATCTTCCGGTTTTTATGAATTTTTAGCAACTCAATGAATGATTTTTAAAAAATGTATGAATTTAAAATTTTTTAATTTTATACCTAATTTTAAAAAATTTATGAAAATTAATTTTTTTTTTAATTTTATAATTTTAAAAAATTGTTTTAATATACCTTTGTAAGTTCTACAGGTACAACCACTTGATTTGCGTCAACATCGCGAGAAACGTTATGATTTTCGTTAAAAAAAAGAAACGAAGGATACAAATACCGATTTATCAAAAATTAATACAAAATGCGAAAATGAAACGAATTTTCTGAAATGGAAAATCTATTCGACGGAAGAGGTTTCGTTTAACCGGTACAGGAATGTGTCTCGTGCCGACACTGAAACGAAATGTGGGGCATGAGCCGCTCTCGAGCACCAACTGATAAATCCAATGTGAGCAAGTCTACTTTGTATTATTTGTCCCGTCATTATAAACATATGTATGTATTAGATTTCAATGTAAAGTGTACGTACACAGGTGTATATCTGATATACGTCACGTCCGGATAGTTCTTTTTCACGTCAATTATTGAAAAGTACAATTTTTTATTAAAAAAAATAAATAAATAAAGAAAAAGTTTTTATTTTGAAAAATTAACGAAATTCATTAATTCTAGAACCAAAATAAATTGTTTAATTATAAAAAAGTTTGGTAAATACCAAAAAAATGATTCTTCCACTTGAGAACGCCAAGATCACCACTAGGTGGCGAGAAATCTGCCATCTAGCGTTGACCTTGGCGTTCGCAGGTGAAAAAATGCAACTCCATATTGTTTCAAATAAATTATTGAATTTTGGTAAAATTGTTTAATAATCAATAAAATTTGACAAAATCTTTTTAAAATATTTGAATTTTTGCGAAAAATTGAAATTTGGTAAAATAAAATATAATTTAAAAATAATTGAAATTTAATAAAATCTTTTTAAAACTATATTGAATTATGATGTAATTGTTTAAAAATAATTAAAATTTGACAAAATCTTTTAAAAATAATTGAATTTTTGCAAAAAATTGAATTTTTGTAAAATATCTTTAAAATAATTGAAATTTGATAAAATCGTTTTAAAACTATATTGAATTTTGGTAAAATCGATTAAAAATAATTGAAATTTGACCAAATCTTTTAAAAATAATTGAATTTTGGAAAATTTGTTTAAAAATCATTGAAATTTGACAAAATCTTTTAAAAATAATTAAATTTTTGCGAAAAATTGAAATTTTGTAAAATCTTTTAAAAATAATAGAAAATTGATAAAATCTTTTTAAAACAATATTGAATTTTGGTAAAATCGTTTAAAAATAATTGAAATTTGACAAAATATTTTTAAAATAATCGAATTTTTGCGAAAAATTGAATTTTGGTAAAATATAATTTAAAAATAATTGAAATTTAATAAAATCTTTTTAAAACTATATTGAATTATGGTGAAATTGTTTAAAAATAATTGAAATTTGACAAAATCTTTTAAAAATAATTGAATTTTTGCAAAAAATTGAATTTTTGTAAAATCTCTTAAAAGTAATTGAAATTTGATAAAATCTTTTTAAAACAATATTGAATTTTGGTAAAATCGTTTGAAAATAATTGAAATGTGACAAAATCTTTTAAAAATAATTGAAATTGATAAAATCTTTTTAAAACAATATTGAATTTTGGTAAAATCGTTTTAAAATAATTTAAATTTGACAAAATCTTTTAAAAATAATTGAATTTTTGGGAAAAATTGAATATTAGTCAAATCTTTTAAAAATAATTAAAATTTGATAAATTTTTTTAAAAATAATTGAATTTTTGCGTAAAATTGAATTTGGTAAAATCTTTTTAAAAGAATATTGAATTTTGGTAAAATATTTTAATAATAATTAAAATTTGACAAAATATTTTTAAAATAATCGAATTTTTGCGAAAAATTTAATTTTGGTAAAATACTTTAAAAATAATTGAAATTTAATAAACTCTTTTTAAAATTGTATTGAATTTTGGTAAAATCGTTAAAAAATAATTGAAATTTGACAAAATCTTTTAAAAATAATTGAATTTTCGCGAAAAATTGAATTTTGGTAAAATTGTTTAAAAATAATTGATATTTGACAAAATCTTTCAAAAATAATTGATTTTTCATTACATTTTTTTTAAAATTCAATTTTTTTTCAAAATTTGCAATTAAATTTTTTCAAAAGTTGATTTTTAAAAATTTTAATAATAATGATTTTTAAATCAGAAAAATTAAATTTTTTTTTTAATTAAGAAAATCTTTTCTTAAATTAATTCCTTACGAATTTTTACTAGATGATAAATTATAATCAGTCGTACAATCGATTGCTAATCGACGGTGTACTTTCTTCTTCTAATTCTCCAGCAATTGTAATTATTAGTGCGGGGGGAAAAAGTGAAATTCGTAAATTTATAAGCCAACGCTCTAGAAATACGGTAAATAAAAAACATATATGCAAAAAGGAATATAAAGTGTTTTCAGCCTTATTATAAGCATGTTGAATGAGAACACACAGGTGCTCATTCTGAATAGAAAAACCAACAGACGAGCTATCTAGTTGAAATCTGTTTTACACCTGCGGCTACTTTTGTGGTATTAAAACTCCTATACACATTTACAACTCAAACATAGTTTTATTTGCACAGAGAAAAGCGAGTGTTGTTTTTGATGCGGGTAAATTTTGGTAGGGTAATTTTAGTGAGGATAAATTTTCTATAATAGAAAATTTACCTTATTTTCGGTGTTAAAATAACACTTCCGAGCTAAAGTTTGATGCAGACACTTTTAACACCGAATTCAGTGTTAAAATGACACTCACTTTTTTCTGTGTGTATTTATTCTACATAACGTACAATTGTAGAATATAAGATGTATACATTACAATTTTCCCCCAATTTGAGGAAAAATATACAAATTGCTTATTTTCAAATTGTTGATTTCAAGTTTTATTTGTTTCCATTCCATATCATCGTGCATGAAAATGTGAAAACAAAAATCGAAATACTAAACTAAAAATTTTTCTCCGACTCAGATTCACCATTTTAAATTTATAAAATCTTAATTACTTCGAATTAAAATATTTCAAAACATTCAGTTAATTTTTTTTTATATTTTTGAAATAATATGAAATAGTGCTGTATGAGCGTATACTGCATGAAACATTTTCCAAATAGCATAGTTATGTATTTATTAGCACATTCACAGAATTAAGTGTAAAAATAATTCCCATGTTCGAAAAAATATTAATATATGTACTTTTCAACATATATTTGCTTTATAGAAAGTAAAAATAAATTTTCCATCATTAATGCTCGCATTGAAGGAATGTATAACGTAGTGTTTGTCATTGTATTAATTCTCGCACGTTACCGAATAACAATATATAATTACAACTAGGGAACAAAAATAGGAGAAAAGAAAAGAAACTATACGATTAATTCTTATGCCTATTTAGACACGTCATATACTACTTAACACTCTTATTTCGTGAGAGTTATCACATTAGGTAATGACGAGCTGAGATTTATTTTTTTCGACATTTGCTCTATTTAACCTTCATGAGACGGGAAAAAAATAGTGTTCACCAATTTTTTTAAAAATAATTTGATAAATTAACATTTTTATGATATAATTATCGTAAAAAACATATATTTCTGTAAATCCATCTTTCTTCAGTGCGAAATAAGTCATTTAATGACTCATTTCTTCTTATCAATCTTTCTTCAATAGGAAATAAATTATTAAATAACTTATTTCTTCTTATCAATCTTTCTTCAATGCGAAATAATTCAGTAAATGACTTATTTCACATTAAAGAAACAAATCTTTTTGCAAATTCATCTTTCTTCAGTGCGAAATACGTAATTTTATGACTTATTTCGCATTGAAGAAAGATTGATAAGAAGAAATAAGTCATTCATTGACTTATTTCGCATTGAAGAAAGATCGATAAGAAGAAATAAGTCATTTAATGCCTTATTTCGCATTGAAGAAAGACTGATTTTCAAAAATATTTGTTTCTTTCTTCAATGTAAAATAAGTCATTAAATGACTTATTTCGCACTGAAGAAAGATAAATTTGCAAAAAGATTTGTTTCTTCAATGCGAATTAAGTCATTTAATGACTTATTTCGTATTGAAGAAAGATTGATAAGAAGAAATACGTAATTTAATGACTTATTTCACATTGAAGAAATATTGATATGAAGAAATAAGACATTTAATGACTTATTTATCATTGAAGAAAGATTGATTTGCAAAAAGATGTGTTTCTTTCTTCACTGCGAAATAAGTAATTTAATATCTTAATTAAATGACTTATATATCGCATTGAAGAAAGCAAACGTTTAAATGAAGAAAATATTAAATTAAGCAACAAGGGTCGACAAAGGCAGCCATTTCTTTACGATGATTTTTGTAACACAAGTGAAGATCGATTAAAATTTCAAAATTTATTTTCATTCATCATGAATTCACGTACATAATTCAGAGCGCGATATATATAATTCGCCCTCCTTGTGAATGAAGCTAACCATAGAAAAACTATTACGAGTGTTTTCACGGTAAGAGCACCCGATTGCACAACCGATTTTGATCCTCACGAACGCCTCATGGAAGAGACCCGAAGAGAAGATACAGCCGCCAGGCATTACAATATATTGTGTGGGAGCCCCAAGAAAGAGGGGCTCTCAAGAACCCCTTCTCTCAATCCTCTTTTCTTCATCGAGACATATATACCACCACCTTGGTATCATCTTCCAAACACTTTGCACCAGTGAATCTTCTTTGATCGCGGGTCATTTTATTTCTTTTGTGAAAATTACTACGTTTGCTGAAGAAAAAAGTGTCATGTTCTCTTTTCTCTTCATTCAATAAATAATAAATGAATAAATGCATGTCACGTGGCGTAATTGTGTACTAAGGTGATTTAAAATTTTCAATATAAGGTGCGTGATTAAATTGTTTCCGTGTTTTACCAAAATGTAACTACTTTTACTATTAATTATTTGTTAATTTAATTTTTCTTAATTTCTTGTAACAATTTTTTATTTTTTTAAATTTTTTAAAAATTTTTTAAAATTTAAAAATTTTTTTGTTATTTGAATAAAAAAATAAAAAATATCGACACTTTCAGATGATTTCCCGATATCAGTTAATCTGCGCCCTTATATTATTTGGATTAGTGATAATCTACCAGACAATGGCGGTAAGATATATTTTAAGAAATATTATTTACTATATTTATTGGAAAATAATTTGTATGAAATTTTTTATCTAATCCCCTGTTTTTCTCTTTTTCCCCCTTTTTATCCCCTTAAATTAATAAAATCCACTAAAACACCTAAAATCAAAAATTTCTTCCAATTTTCCTATATTTTTAAATTTTAAGGGAAGGGTAAATAGATTTTATTAACTATGTCAAGAAAATAATATAAATATTCCACAAAATTATTTTTAACGTAATTTTTTGTAGGGAATTCAATGGTCATAAAATAAATTCGGTCAGAAAATATTTTAACTCTTTTTGAATTTTTATTTTACTTAAAAATTGCTGGATTTTGAAATCCATACGTAATTTTGTTGCTTTTGAATCGAGAAAAAAATTTCTAAATGAAAAAATTGATTTTCATATAATATTTTTAAAATAATTAAAATTGCAGTCTGAAATTGGTTAGAAAAGTAAGAAAATAAATTTCCAAATAAAAAAATTAAATAATAATAGAATTTTTTGCATTTTCAGCCTAAAAACAAAGTTTTATTTTCAAAATAAGAAAAATGTTTCAAAAATTTGTAAAAATCATTTTTTGTTATTGTCAAGGGCCAACTAAAAATATTAAGCGCGACTTAATTGCAATTTTTGAATAAACATTTCCCATTTTCCTGTACATATATAATATATGGTATATAATATATCCTTTATTAAGGAAATTCTTTCACATTTATATTCATAAGAGTTTCGTTAATTCCTGAGCACTTTTGAATAATAATTTAATTGTGAGAGTGCTTAATTAAGAATTAGATAAAACAATGCATTTTAAGGTGTCTTGTCTCAAAGTTTCAATGCGAAAGTGAACTGGGATAAAAATTATGCAAGGAAGATGTAACACCTTACGTGTTCTCTGCACGCTTTGATATTTTGATAAGTTTTGAGACAATTGTTGACTTATGAAATATCTACTACTTTGTGAAACTGATTATTATTTTAATATATTATTTTTTTTTGTTATTATTTTGGTGCATGAAAACGCACACTCTACTCTCACGCTTTATAGAATATAATATGTAATGACACAAGAGAGAGAGAGAGAATTGAGCTACATCTCCCACATCATTATCTGGCTAATTAATTTGCTACTTTGTTGGGTACGTGTTTGGAAATTATTGCAAGGACGTTAAAAATTGTACAAAATTTCCATTCTATATTTTTTATTTTCCTGACTTTTTCCTAATTTTCATCAAACATATAATTACTTCTTTCTTATCCTGATAATAAATTAAATTCCTGCAGCAACGAATTTTATTATTCATGAAAGAATTTAAATATTTATAAAAATAATTTAATTAATTAATTAATTAATTAATTAATTTAATTTAATTTAATTCTTGCGAAGAATTTTATAAAAAATTTTAAATAATATTGATTTCTTTCGAATATTTTTATGCAAATTCTAATTTAAATAATTAAATTACAGAGAAATTTTTATTATTCATAATAATAATTGAATTCTTACGAAGATTTCTACAAAAAATTCTTTTAATAATTGAAATCTGTTTGGAAATTTTATGAAAATAGTAGATAGTATTGAAAATCATTAAATTGAGAAAAGTTTTTAAAAATAATTGAATTTTACAAAGAATTCTATTTAAATTTTTCACAATAATTGAATGTCTGTGTGGTATTTTATTAAATTTTTTTGAAAATAATTGAATTCTTGTGATGAATATTGTTATTTACGAAAATAATTGAATTTTGGAAAGAATTTTATTAAAATGCCTCAAAATATAATTGAATTTTCGGGTATAATTTTGGTACTTATCTTTAATAATTGAATTCTTTCGAAGAATTATTTAGGTAAATAATTAAATTATTCGGAAGAATTTTATTAAAATCTAAAAAAATAATTTAATTAATTCAAAAAATTTCATTAAAATTGTATTCAAAATTGAATTATTTCTAAAAATTCCCTCTGTTATGCTTTTAATATTCGATTATTTTTTAAAATTTTAAGTGAAATTCATTTTTTTCTCCAAATTTTTATTAGAAAATTTGTCGAGAATTCAATTATTTAAAATACAAAAATAAATAATTTATTAAATAATTGAGTATTTCTTAAAATTGAATTTTTATGAAGAATTTTATTAAAAAAATTTAATAATAATTGAATTCTTTCAGTAAATAAAAAAAAAAATTACGAATAGATTATGAATTTTATTCAAAATTTTTTTAAATAATTGAATTTCTCAGAATTTTCAAAAACTTTTTGAAAATAATTAAATTCCATCGAGAAATTTTATTAAAAAATTTGAACATAATTGAAATCTGACGAAGAATTTTATTAAATTTTTTTAAAATAATTTAATTCATGTAAAAATTTTATTTTTGAAAAGAATTGAATTCTTGGGAAGAATATTATTAAAATTTCTTAAATAATTGAATTCTTAAAACAAATTTTATTTTTTACGAAAATAATTGAATTGTCTGGAAGATTTTTACTAATATTTTTGACAATAATTCTATTATAATTGTTTTAAATAATTAATTTTTTCGAAATATAATAAATATTATAAAAATTTTATTTTAAATAATTGAATTCTTGCGTGGAAAACTTTATTTGTGAAAATAATTGAATTTTTCGATTAATTAATTTAAAATAGTATTAAAAATAATTGAGTATTATTATTCATGAAAATAATTGAATTCTTGTTTAGAAATACATCAAAAAATTTTTTAAAAATTGAATTTCCATGAAAAATGTTATTATTAGTGAAAGTAATTGAATTATTGTGAAGAATTGTATAAAAATTTTGTTATAATTGATTTTTCTGAAATAATTTAATTTTGAAATTTTTGTGAAAATTCTCTTCTAAATTAATTGAATTTCTGTGGAAATTTTATTATTTATAAAAATAATTGAATTTTGGATGAATTTTATGAATTTCTCTTTTAAATAATTGAATTCTTTTGGCAAATTTTTTTTTTGATTTCTAGTATAAGCGAATTTAAACTTTTAAAGTAGTGGAAATTCTCAACAAAAAAAAACAGAAATAGTAGCTTTTAGTGGCTGAAATCTAAAAAAGTATCAAAAAAATTTTGGAAAATGATATTTGACTATAGAATAAATCCAGAGTTGAAACAAAAATGACTCGAAAAAATGAGATAATAGAAGCATTTTGTTAAATTGCAGTTGACCCTTTAGAAAAAATGTTTCAACAAAGAAAGGGAGGATGTTACGAATAAAAGCCCAAACAATTAAATTCGTCGAGTGTGAAGGTTACAGAATCCTATCACGCAATGGGCGCAGGACTTGCATTTATTTTCTCTCATCAAAGCGATGACCGTGAACACTGATTGAAATCATAGTAAACGCCTCCAAATTGCATTTTTTTTTCTTCTTCTCTCGTTGAAGAAAAAACACCTTTCTGATAAAGAGATTATTGTTTCTTCATTCTTTTGTCATTTTCTTCCGTTAATATAGTGAATAACAAAAAAATAAGATTTTTGCTCGTAAATATTTATATTAAAATTGAATATTTTTTTTATTACCACATATGCTAGAAGATAATTTTTTCTATCTACAAATAAAATCAAAATTTGAAAATTGTGAACAAAAGTACTAACTTTTTTTTTTATCTTCAAATAAAATCAAAATTTGAAAATTGTGAACAAAATTTAGCACTTTTGTTCCCAATTTTCAAATTTTGATTTTATTTGGAGATTGAAAAATAAGAAGAAGATGTACATCGCAGTTTGAAATGAAACAATGTACTCGATTTCCGGTCAATCTTCAGTTCGAACTTAAAGAGAATAAGTGATGACGAAACCTGTTTCGACTGTTATTTGTACCTTTTAATCATTATTGCGAAAAAGGAACAAGGAAATCTTTTTCTCATAAGTCAAATTTACCACATGAACCGCTTTTCCTCGTCTTGCAAAATTTCCAGAGAGTTCAAATAATGTTCTTAGATAATAATTGAACGTTTCCCTAAACTTCGATTATACAGTTGCTTTCTTTTTCTTATGCTTTTAATTATCATGCAGACTTCCAAGATGATTTCGGGATCACTTATTTGGAATTATGGGTCAAAAATAATTTTTCAACTCTTTTGTAACGAAAATACTTTTTCAGAAGTAAATTTAAATTTTTCAGAAGAATTAAATTTCTTTCTTGAAAGTATCAAATTGATACTAAAGTGGATCAAATTGATGACAAAAATTCGAATCAATTTTAGATTTGATCTACATTTTTTATAGTAAAGTGGATCAAATTAATGCCAAAAATTCGGATCAATTTTTGATTTGATCTACATTTTTGGTATCAATTCGTTGAAATTTGAAACTTTTAAGTTAATAGTGAAGCGAACTAAAATTTTTTAAAAAATTTAGAATCATTAATACCCATTTTAAATAAAAAGTAATTTTCGACAAAATCTTTTTAAAAAAAATTTAAAAGTGAATAATTGAATTGAAAGACAATTCGGGAGTATTTTAAATTTGCAATTTCCTTCCGCGTTAAAATTTTAAATCAATGAAGGGTGGAGAATGACAAATCTCGTATATAAAGGGAAGACCCATGGGATGAGTATTTCAAGGTTAGCAACTACTGTAAGGTCGTACCAGATGTACCCGTATCTTGGTTTCAGATTACGAGGCAGATTCCTTTGCGCGAACAATCCACCAAGCACATAGATTTTGAAGATTTTGTTTTTAAGATTTCACATTATCTTAATAAATTGATTGCAGAAATTTAATTCTGTTCGAAAATTTTTGAAAATTCAAGTACAAATTTTAATTATCATTAGGAATAATGAAATTCTTCTTCAAAATTCAATTATTTTTGAAAAATTTTAAAATAATTCTTCGGCAAAATTTCAATTATTTTCAAAAATTGTCCTCAATTTGATGATTTTCTATTTTTAGTATTTTAATAAAATTTTCTAAAAGAATTTAATTACTTAAAAAAATGTTGATACAATTCTACGTAAACATTCAATTATTTTCATAAATAATAACAATTTCACAGGAATTCAATTATTTACAAATTTTTCATAAATTTCTTCACAATATTTAAATTATTTTGTTAAATAATAAAATTTTTTACAGGGACTCAATTATTTTGATAAATAATAAAATTGCTTTTAGGAATTCAATTATCTTCATAAATAATAAAACTCATCGCATAATTTCAAATTAATAACACAATTCAAATTTTTAACACAATTATAATCGATTTTCTCGAAAAATGTATAATTATTATTCTTAAAAATTCTATTAAAATTCGTAGAAAGAATTCAGTTATTTAAAAATTTGTTGACTTAATTTTTTTTCAAAAAGCTTTGAATTTTATAAAAACAAAAACTTTTTTAAAAAAACTAACAAGAATGGCAATTAATGTTTCAGCAAGTAGATGGTTATACGCCTGGAGTAGACTATCCAATATACGACTCTGTACCATTTGGTCTGACTTTTACCTGCCGAGGAAAATTACCTGGTTATTATGCCGATCCTGAAGCCAGATGTCAGGTTAATCGTTTTTTTCAAAATTATAACCAGTTTTTGAATTATTTTTTATTTTTAACATTTAATTATTATTAAAGGCTTGGTAGCAAATACATTAATTAATTATTATTTTTAATATTTAGTAAATAAATTATTATTAATAATCATTACTTTTATTATTCAGTAAATAAATTATTATTAATAATTATTATTTTTATTATTCAGTAAATAAATTATTATTAATAATTATTATTTTTATTATTCAGTGAATAAATTATTATTAATTATTATTATTTTTATTTAACAGGTGTGGCATTGGTGTGTGCCTGGAGGAAGGCAATTCAGTTTTCTCTGTCCGAATGGTACTGTTTTCAGTCAAACGACTCGAGTCTGTGATTGGTGGTTTAAGGTATACTTGGATATTGAACCAAAAAATAATTTTTTAAAATTATTTTTAATTATTTTAACTAACTTTGATAAATTTTTAGCTATAAAATAAATGTCCCATCTTGTTTGAAACTTTTTTAAGTCACTGATTACGAACTTGATGTCAAGTTTTCAAAATTCAAAATGGCGGATCCAATATGGCGACTTTTTTTTAAAAACTTTTAAAACTTTATTAGATTTGAATAAAATTTGTTTTTAGAAAATCGAATATGAAATTTTTACATTTTTTTCCACCATATTGGATCCGCCATTTTGAATTTTGAAAATCTAACATCAAATTCAAAAAGCAGTTTTCTCACAAATTTTCTATTTTACTTTTAAGGTGGACTGCAACGATTCCCCTCGATTATACAGCATCAACGAAGATTTATATCGAGACGCTCGAGGAAATTACATTTAATAAATGAAAATATAGATGAATATGAATGCACAAATTTTATTTAATTTTTCACTTGAAATGAAAAAATTTTTACACGTCTTCTCTCTAAATTTCTAAGAATGTCCAATTTTAAAAATCGTTTGCTATTTGAATTAGGCAAAAATTTGTCAAAATTATTAATAAACTAAAACGAATTTTTAAAGAAAAAAGAATAAAAAAAATTTTTTTAGTTTATGTGCAAAATTTTAGGAGAATTGGTAGTAAAAATTTCGTCACTAATTCAAATTTAGAGAGTTGACATAATGTGTTCGTTACCAAAAAAGAAAAAAAAAATTCTGTAAATATTAGAATAGATTTTGTAAATTTAATATATAAAAGGACCACAGTGTTGATAAATAAAGATATTATGAAATTTTTTATTTAAATAATCTATAATTTCTTATAATAATCTATAATAATAATATTAAAATATTAATGATAATAATAATAAAAATAATAATTTTGATTAATAATAATAATAATAATAATAATAATAATAATAATAATAATAATAATAATAATAATAATAATAATAATTTTGATTATTATTATTGCAGTAATAATATATAACTTCATATAAAAAAAGAATACAAGCTGATATACAGAGAAAAATAGAGAAAAGATATTAAACAGGAGCGATTCAAACTGAAAACGTAGATCAGAACGATTTCTGTTTTACCGACAACGAAGAATTTTACTTTAGTGACACAGCGACTAAAACATAAAGCATTAGAATATATATTATAAATACTCTTATAATAAAGCAAAATTTTTTTTAAAATTCAATTTATCTTTGATATTGAAAATTATAACCGAATCGAGAAGAACGATATCATTGTCGGTTCGACAGCAGTCGGCAATTTCTTGGCATGATTGGGCAATAGAAAGTGAATGGCCAGTTTACGTACATTCATCTGTCCGCCGTTCTGTCTCGTGAAAACTTGAATTATTAACTGCTTTATTTTTTTTTTCATTTGCAAATTAGATTTATTTTGCAAGTGTCATCATAAAAAGTAATTATTGTAGTTCATGTTTTTAGCAGCACTTGAAGTATTATAGGCCGAAAGAAAATTAACCCTCTAATCGACCAATCGTAAATTTTTACTTAAGAGAGAAGAGGATAAAAATATTTCTTATCCAAAAGAGATTTTGACCCCCTCCACAAAAAGTCGAGACTGAATTTTTTTAAGTCATTTTTAATTTTTAAGCCTCTTAATCCTGTTGCGTTATATAAATTGAAAATATCTTGAAATAAAGAATGTTATTAAAATAAATTAAAACCGATTGCTAATTAATTTAAAATGATTATAAAAACTTTCAAGGAATTATGACTTGTATTTTTTTATTATTATTATTATTAATAACTGGATAAGAATTTTAAAGTATTATATTCAAACTCAGTCATTGGAAAAGTGATAAAAATACCTATAAACGTGTCTGTTACGAGACAATTTATTATTTGTAGGTAATTGAGATGTACTTTGCGAGACGAGTACTTTGACCTTGATTCAATAATCATTCGGATTTAATATCGATAGACATCGAAAACCGGTATGTGCCGTTGCATTCCTTTTAAGGAACGTAAATTTATAAACATATTGATAACAAACAATGTCTCGCAATTTCTTTAAATGGCAAAAAAAGGAGGTGAAGATGAAAAATACACATTCTTTAAATATTTTGATAATTTTTGATGTTTTTTTTTATCATTTCTGATGATTTTTAATAAATTTTGATGACTTTTGATGATTTTTGATGATTTTTGATGATATTTTTCTAAATATTGAATATTGATATTTTTTTGGAATGTTTTAAAAATTATGAAGATGGGAAAAATGAATAATATTTTTTTTGATGATTTTTGATGATTTTTGATGATTTTTGATGACTTTTGATGATTTTTCATGATTTTTGATGGACTTTTGATGACTTTTGCTGATTTTTGATGACTTTTGATGATTTTTGATGATTTTTGATGATTTTTGATGATTTTTGATAATATTTTTTTAAATATTGAATATTGATATTTTTTATTAATGTTTTAAAAATGATGAAGATGAGAAAAATAAATGTTCCAATTATCAAATACATTGATTACAGTTAGTCCCTTTTTTTACATTTTTTATCCCTAATAATAAATTCCCTAAAAGACCGAAAATCAAAGCGTAATATTCATATTCTTTTGAATTCTAATTATATTTAAAAAAACCAGGTTTTTTTCTCAAGGATTGGAAATAATAACTCGTTTATATATCACTGGAGTAAATTCTATAATTTTCTCAATTTGGTTCAAAGAGTTGAATCTGTATAATTGCAATCATGTTTTATTGATTCCTCCACTTCTTTTGACTTATTCTTTTAATCATTTTCTAAATTTAGTTCGGGAATTTTTTCTTCTTCTTCATGTAACACCTAGAAGTGATTGTGAATTCTAGTAACGATCCTTTAACTTGGTTTCCTGGAGAAAAATTCTTTTTTTAACTAGAATTCTACTATTAATTTTCAGACAATTTTTTTGAGACAATTTTTTTTTTTTTTTTTTTTTTTTTTTTTTTTAATGTAATGTTTGAAACATCGAAAAAGAACCCAAACAGCAAAACACGAAAAGTTTATTTAATTATAGAAATATATATTATGCGACCGCAACAAAATAAGATAATTCGAAAAAAAGTAAGAGTAAAATTTTTTTTTTTTAATTTGAAATATCAGACAATCATGTTAAAAAGTGTTTTAAATAAATTCGAGTTATGACAGTTTATACATTATTAATATAAATGTTGACTATATAATTATAAAGTTTTACTGGGTATATATCATTTCTGGGGTATAAATTACGTCTCTGCCTCTGGTAAAGTAAAGAAATGTACGTAACGGCTTCTTGTCGTTATATTGCTGATGTTGCTTTTCCCGTTGTAGAGACACTTGTATCACGCGAAAAGAAATATTTCGTAACACTTGCCGTCATCCATCCTCCGCTTTAATGTCCCACATCTATTATTAAGACACGACGAGAGGATCCCTCGAAGCTTGTTTGCACTTGCATAAATGAATTTAACAGCGAATCTGGTATAAGACAGCAAATGGGCAAAAAAAAATTACTGGAAACATTTGGAAATTTACAAAAAAAAGAAGAAAAATAGAGAAGTTAATAAATCACGAACAGGGTTGCAAGAAAAATTTAATTTTGTGTTTCCCTGACTTTTTCCTAATTTCTTCCTAATTTCTGGGCCATAAACTTTTTTGTCAAAACCAGATTTCACCAAAAAAAGAGGTGAAAAAATAACAGAAATGTTACCAAACAAAAGGAATGTCTACTGCTAATTTTTCTAATTCTAATTACGGTTGAAAAAATGTGTTTTAAAAATTCTCTCAAATTCCAATTTTATCACGTGCTCCTGCTTCGATGAAAATATTTCTATAATAGCCCAATTGAGCAGGTGTAACGCTTTATAACTTGAATAACGCGCAAGAAAGTTGAGAGTATAATACATCGCGAGCGTATATATTATTCAGTGATTTATGAAACTTGGCCCGGGCGAAGGACACACACAAACACATACAAGAGAAATTATCGCAACGACTTTTTTTTTTTTTTTTTTTTTTTTTTTTTTTTTTTTTTTTTTAATGAAACGATTAGTTTTTAATGTCAAGCACAATATTCAGGTGTGACACGCCTCTATTTAAAACGTGATTCTGTTTTTCAGTTGGAAAAAATGAATTAAAAAAACATATGATGCTGAAAAAGAAATTAAAAAAAAATCTGCTATTCTGATAATAATTCAAGTCTCAAGAGCGAAAGTATTTTTATGAGTCTTCAAAATTTCGTCTATTTTTACGTTTTTGGCCATAATAACGCATATTTAACGAACATATGAAAGTGAAAAAACGCCATAAAATCAGTTATGAAATGAAAAATTATTCTTTACTTTTTGGTCAAGAAATTAATAATTAATAGATTAAGGAACAATTGACACAATTGTTTATTGTTTCAACTATCCCTAATCTTATCAAATGGTATAATTAATTTCTTAATTTATTATTAAATTTTCTAATTTTTAATTAGAAATAAGTTTAAAAACAAAGTAATAAGATTCTGATCTTTGTTTTCTATTTCTAAAACAATTATTCGAGTTTTAAATAATAAATGTACAAAAAATTAACGTGAGATTATTTTCCATATGTACATTATACTGTTTGTAAAGTAACTTAAGCATTGAAAATTCGCAGTGACTTATTGAATACAGTATACAAAAGATATGCTGACAGAATTAGATTTGCAGATGTTATTGCTTATCATGATAGAACCTGTCGCTTTGCACACAGCATTATAACGCGTTCCACTTTCACTGTTGACATTCGAGACTTTTGTGGATGCTTAGGGGTAGCGAGTGGGCTGTGCCAATGCGTAGATTAAATCATAGATTAAAAAAAAAAAAAAAAAAAAAAAAAAAAATAATTGTAACTTGACAGTCTAGAAGGTGGTTCAAGACCTTTTAGAATTCAAATATATATGACATCACATAATGCATAAGAAAGAAAATCATTTATAGATCTATTGTCTCTTAATGAAATATCAAAGTTCCTTTTCATTATTATTCATTTTTTTTATTATTCTTATATGTAAAATACAATAAATGCGCATTTTTATTTTATAAGACAAGGCAAGCAATGACAAAGGAATAATTTAATTCTATTAAAAATTTTATTCGCATTGGATTTTTTTTTTGAAAAGTGGATATCAATTATATTTTCTAATTATTGTATCCTATAAAATATTTTCTACTATTAGTTTTTAATTTTTATTATTTATATTGTTTATTATTCTATTATATTTCTCTTCTCATTTTTATTTATTCAAAATAATTACATAGCTCAAACACATTTATAAAGTGCAGGTTATTCAAAAGTTTAGAACAAAATTAAAAAAAAAAATTTTTTAATGAAGAAAAACCGATTTATATAAAATTTTTGGAGATTGTAGATTGAAGAAATATTTTCTTGCTGCTTTCTTCGAAAGAAATTGATTAAAAAAAAGGGTAAAAAATGGAAAAATTCTAAAAATACGATTGTTAATGAGGAATGCCTTCTGGTTGAATATCTGACATTTTGCAAAACGAACGTTAAAAGTGAAAACAGCTCTTGAAAGGTCACGTGACCAGTTACGAGCTTCATTTATGACAGATCAAGGCGATCAGCTGTTTTCTGTAAACCGTACATTTCTCTCTTTTATTTATTTATTATTTTCCGTTTTTTTCGCAAATTTTTATGTTTTCGGAAAAAAAATTATATTTGTTAACATTTTTATTTACACAAAATTTGTCAATTTTCATTCAAACTTTATGTTAAATTTGTCGAATCTTATAAACTTTATGCTCAAATCTATGCAAAATTTGTTAATTTTTATAAACGTTATAATTTTTTTTTTTTAAATTTTGTATAACATTGTATATTAAATAATTTTATATTATAAAATAACTGTTTTTTTTATAAAACATTTCTTAAATTTTGTATAACATTGTATTTTGAATAATTTTATATTTAAAAATATTAACCATTCAGCTAAAATCTAGAAAATAGCTAATAATGGGCTAAGAAATTAATTTGCACAAAATCTACAAGAGAAAGGAGTGTCGAATAGCGCCGAGCGTTTCTTTCATCAAAAAAAAAAAAAAAAAAAAAAAAAAATTCCGGTCTACTATATACTATACTCGCGTAATATACCCTCGAAACGTCTCCTGTGGCAATTTTACTGACGTAATGGATCCTATGAAGAAAATATGACAGGAAATCATGACTTTCTATGAAGGATGTTTCGTTTATTGTTCTTTTATCTTCAGCAAAGGTCGGCGGATATAAACGATATAAATTTTTCAGACTGGAAATTTCACTCGTTTTTTGAAACCACAAATCATCGAGTTTGGCAATTTTCAAAATTGTCCCGCCATTTTTAATTTTCATCCTTTATTTTTGATCCGCTTTTTTTAAAATCATTAACATTATACCCTAAAAATTAACCTCAAACGAATTTGATTCGAAAAATTTTCCGCCATATTGGATTCGCCATTTTGGAAATTCTAAATAAATGACCAGTGACCCTGGATTTATTTAAACAATGACTTAAAAATTTAGAAAATTTAGAAAAGTTAAACATTTACTAAAACATTACTAAAATTGCTAAAAACTCCAAAAACCAAACAAAAAAAAACGCTAAAGAACTCTAAATTTAAAAAAAAAAATAAAAAATGTTGAAACCGAGGTTGAAACTGTGTAAAAAATTATAAATACTGTGGCAAACGTTAATAGCAGCATTTAATGACAAATATACAAGCATTAATTATTTATAATTTGTGATGCACCGCAAAAATAATTAAATGTAAAGTGCAATCAGGTAATTTATAATTTTATATATAAAATATATTTTAAACCTCGAACAAAATATTATGTTTCATTATAAATATCGTACATGTTGCTTGTAAAGGAGTTGATTAACATATACATATATACAATTTTGATGACGGTTTAAGTGAAAGGAAAATGAGATTACAGTACTCTCTCTCTTGATGATTAAAAAAGATTTGAAGTTGATTTGAGAGTGTTCTTGAAACTGGATTCGATGCTGATTAAATCCAGTTATCATTTAAATATATTATACAAAAATAAAAAAAAAAAATAAAAAATGCTGTCGCGCACGGTATTGCGTAGTATTATTTTATAACACTTGATGTCTACTCAGAAAAGTTTCATGAACTCGTTCATGTTGCCTATTCTCTTTTACGACCGCTGCTAGGTATATACCTTTCTAATGTGCGCTGTAAAAATTAATAGACACCATTAATGCGCAGTGCGCCATCTATACTGTGCATTTAGACTTTTTGACCCACAGTGCTAAACTTTGGTACAATTTTTTATTTTTGCTGAGCCTTTTTGTCGAAAACTGTATAAAATTTCTTTTTCCGCTTTTGTCAGTCTCTTTGACCCACAGTGCTAATGTTTGGTACATTTTTTTATTTTTGTTAAAAATATTTATTAAAAAAATATTAAGAAATAAGTTTCCATTTTTGTTTTACACATTTAAATATAAAAACTTAAATTAATTTTTACAGTTTTCTTTTTCTTTTATACCCAAAAAACTTAAGATTGTATAAAAATAAAATATTTCTTCTGACTTTTAATATTTTTTCGGACCTGAAAAGTTGAATTTTTGCAAAATTATTTATTTTTAAATGATTTATAAAATTAATTACAAAACGAGTTACAAAATTTAAAGAGAAACTCGAAATATAAAAAGAAATTTGCGTCTTTTTTAAACTTTTATTATATTTTTGACCTGAATAGAAGAAATTTGGTTTAAATTTTGTTAAAAATATAGATTTTATATAAATATTTCTATAATGTATTATTATATATATTTTAATAAATTTTAACATTTTCGTAACCAATTTTCACAAGATTTTAATTTTTGAATTTTCAATTAGAATATGATACATATCAACAGTTTCAATTAAGTGACTTTTGGAAATTCATAAACTGACCTTATTAAAAGTTTCCATGGTCTCACATATTGGAAATTTTCCAGTAGTTTAAAAAAAATTATGCATATTTTGAAAAACATGATTTTTTAGAAAGTTTTAAACTATTCGAGATTCATTAATATACTTGATGACTTCATTAAATTTTTGATTTGCATATTTCTAGATTTTCAAAATAAAAGAAATTTTTACTAAAATTGGATCAATTTAATTATTAGCTGTTAATCTTTTGGAAAAAGATTATTTAGAATTTATAGAAAGATTATTCGATTTTCTAAAAAAAAATTTAATTACTAGATGTTAATTAATCTCTTTGGAATCTAATTTAAAAAGATTATTCGCTTTTCTAAAAGGGGAAATTATTAAAAATTCGTAAAAAGTGATTTTTTTAGAAAGTTTCGGTTCATTCTTTTTAATTTCTAAAATATAATGACGAATCTTTTATGTCTTCAAAATGCATTAATTTTGGGTAATTCGACATCAAAGTTTTATTATTCAGCTGTTATTAATTTTTAGATGTTATTTTTAACATTTTTTTTTATTTATATTAATTTTTTAAAAGTTAGAATCAAAGCAAAAAACAAAAAAGTAAAAATACTAGTGAAGAAAGATGAAAACGAAAAAGGAAAAATATAACTGAAGAAAGATAAAAACAAAAAAGTAAAAATACAACTGAAGATAAAGAGTTTAACTGAAGTTTAATTAACTGAAGTTAAAATCAAAGTAGAAAACAAAAAAGTAAAAATACAACTGAAGAAAGATCAAAACGAAAAAGTAAAAATATAACTGAAGAAAGATAAAACAATGAAGTAAAAATACAACTGAAGAAATATGAAGACAAAAAAGTAAAAATATAATTGAAGAAAGATGAAAACAAAAAATTAAAATTACAACTGAAGAAAGATAAAAACAAAAAGGTAAAAATACAACTGAAGAAAGATAAAACAAAAAGGAATAATACAACTGAAGAAAGATACCATAAAAACAAAAATAAGGAAGTGATGATGATATTATTAATAATTATTTTTTTTAAGTAATAATTATTGTTCCATCGACCACCCGGAGCAAAGATCCTCGATAAAAGAAACTTTTAGGCTCACTCCGAAGGAATAGAATTATCATCAATAATTCATAATGTTGTCGTCCTTCATTAGAACTAATCTAAAGCCACTGAATGATCATAACATCCCACTGAATGATTAAAATAACCATAGCGAATAATTAAGAACAGGATTATAAAATTCTGCATTAGAAGCAATCATACGATGACTGGATAAAGAAAATAATCAATTTATTCAAATCCTTATTCAATATCCAGTTGCAATTGAATTGATATCCGCACCTACTCTCTCAATACCAACAAGATCACCTTTCTATAATCCATCACATGATTATGTATCCGATGAGCCAAACGAAAAAAACAAGGAGATGAATCTTCAATTTTTTTCCTCTCTTTTTTTTATTCAGAGATGATGTTCATCGTCTCGCAGAGTTCTCTTTTCACGAGAACTCTCCAGTGGACACCAATGGCCGCGTCTTATCCCCACTTTCTAGTCCCCGTCCTTCTCGTAGAAAGCTCACCAGACGAAGTCGAACACACTACTCCTGGTGTTTTCCACTTCCCCAGCGCCAGTCTCCGGCCGGGCTAGACACGGTCTGTTCCATCATTTTGTTAACAGTGTAAACTTGAAAAAAAAATTTTTTTAAAATTAGTTTTCTGTATTTGTATTTGTATTTCTCCTGCGTTAGCGAAAAAGAGGTGTTGGTGCGGGTAATCTTTGTTTTTTGTATTGTTGAGACAACTGTGTTTGATTTTTATCAGGAAAAGTGTGGAAGCAGGAGAAAAAAGTGCATTCATGTGAGGTGGTACGAATTTCATGAAAGGATTTGGCGAAGGGAGTCGGTGCTGCTGAGAGAGAGAAAGGTACGTTTTTTTTATTATTTTGATGATCGAAATTCGGCAATAGGATCAAAATTCGTTATTAGAAAAGTTGTGATAATGATGGTACTGATCAAAATTAGTTTGGCAAAGTGCTACCACTTTGCCTGACTAATTTTGATAAATTTTGATGATGATGGAAGATTATTTTCATCATCAAACATTATAATAATTGTTTGTAACTTCACAACAAACAATTATCAGTTGTAACATTCAATCGGTTATCCAGGAATTGTAAAAATCGACCCAAAACATTAGCAAAAATTTTCGTTTGGTTCACCAGAAGGCAGACACTAACATTTACGAACCGAACCAAAAATTGTTTGCTGACGTTTTAGTTTATCTTAATTTTTAGCAAACCGAAACCAAAAACAAAAATGCGAATTGCTTCCATAATTGCTTGTGCAAATGTTTGTGAATCCTCATTAAGATTAGCATCATCATGATGGTGGTCATCATCAAAAATCGGTTTGGCAATTGCAATTTAAATCCCATATCAAGGATGATGTTTGCAATGATGTGCAAAGTTTTCTTTGTATTATCATTATCAACAATGTAATGACAATAGTACTTTTCTTGAAAGTATCAAATTGATACCAAATGAAAGAAAACAAATGTTGGTAAAGAAAATGATGATGATGATGATGATGATGATGAAAGCAACAAACAAAACAGAAAATAAAGATCATGATGATTATGATGATGATGAAGGCAACAAACAAAACAGAAAACCACGAACAAAACAAACAACAAACAAAACTAGTACGAATGTTATACTCTCGAGACTGGAAATGACGACAACAATTAAAATCATAGTAGAAATCGAAACTGATGAATTAAATTGACTAGTGGTGGACAAAAGTCATTAAAACACAAAGCTAATGATGATTCGTATCATAAACATACACAACAGACCCACAAGTGTGCTATTCATTAAAAAGATAATGATGCCAAAGTTCCTAATGATGATACTACAGCAATTAAAAATTTCAATAAAAATTAAAAATTGCAAACCTAATTTTTTTATACAGTTTAAAATTTGATCCGAACCAACCAAAAACATTAGCAAACAATGTTTTGGTTCGCAAAATGTTTTAGTTTAGTAGCTTTCGACAGTTGGCGTAAAATAATTTTTGACAAGTTTGCAAAGAGGTACCAGGGCTCGAACCAGTGAATGTATTTAAAAATACGAACTTTACGGACCAATCATTACCGACAAAAATATAACTAGTCCGAGTCAAATAATTTTACTTAAAACTACAAGTTTAATTTTTCATAACCATAAAACATGACCAAGTGATAAAATCATTAACAAATCAATTATTATTTTCAAGAATTTTTAACTAAAATTCTTCTTTAAATGGATTATTTTTAATAATTTTCACAAAAGTTCTTTGACAATTTTCAAATCCATTAGTTTACAATATTCAATTTTACGAAATTTCTATTATTCGTAAATTCTTCAATGACACATATTTGAAAATAAAAACTTAAAATAATTTTTTAAAAAATCCGCAATTAAACTTTCTCAAAAAAAATTAATTCCACAGAATAGTTAGTTAAAAATATGAAAAATTCGGATTTTCAAAGATTTTAATTTAAAACCTTTTTAAAATTTAATTATTTCTAAAAATTCACGCTATAATGCTTTTAATATTCAATTATTAGCTAAAATTTTAACTGAAATTCATTTTTATAAAATGAAAATAAATTTTTATTAGAAAATTCGACTAAAATTCAATTATTTACATACAAAAAAAACAATTTATTAAATAATTGCTTATTTAAAATTGAATTCTCATAAAGAATTTTATCAATAAATTTTTAAATAATGGAATTCTTATTTTGACGAATTTTAATAAAATGTTTAAGAATAATTAAATTTTTGGAGGAATTTGATTAAAAATAATTGAAAATCTGCAATAAGTTTTATTATATTTATGAAAATAATTGAATTCCTAAAAAGAATTTTATTAATTGAATTATTTATGAAAATAATTGAATTCCTAAAAGGAATTTTATTAAATGAATTATTTATGAAAATAATTGAATTCCTAGAAAGAATTTTATTAATTGAATTATTTATGAAAATAATTGAATGATTGCAAAGAAATTTAAAAAAAATTGTAAATAATTGAATTCCTGTGAAATTTTTATTATTTTCTGATAATAATTAAAGGTTTGCGTAAAATTTTATTAAATTTTTTTTTAATAGTTGAATTCTTTCGGAAAATTTTATTAAAATTAATATTAAAAATCATTGAATTGGGGAAAATTTTTAAAAATAATTAAAATTGAATTTTATTAAAATTTTTGATAATAATTGAATTTCGGAGAAGAATTTTATTATTTCTGAAGATAATTGAAATTTTGATAGGAAAAATTATGATCATTAATGAAATTTAGGAAATAAAAAAAAAGAATTTAGGAAATTTTTATTAGAACAAAAACGACCTTGCTGATCTGATTGCGAACAGAATCATGAAAACTGACATAAAATAATTAGAATGGAGAAATTACGTACTTAGTAGCACATATATTGTTAGTTCATGATTGACGTTCTGAAGAGTAATGTGTAGAAATCTCACGTCTCTCAGACCTTCATTTCACTGATTTTTCACTTTCTTGTTTACTGTTTTCTTGCCAATGAAGAAAAAATTGCTTTCGACTAACAAAAAAAAAACCCTATTTTTTCGATAATATTTTTTTTCGATAATTATAATAACAACGATATTTAACTAGGAAAAATATTGTTAAAATATATTTAAAAAGTTTATAGATTTTTTTTAAGAAAAAGTTTATAGATTTTTAAATATTTTTTATAGATATTTTTTAAAAAAAAGTTTATAGATTTTTTAATTTCTTTGTAGATTTTTTTTAAGAAAAAATTTATAGATTAAAAATGTAGTGATGATTTTGAAAATTTATGGTTAATGAAAGAATTTATGAATGCAGTTGATTCCAAATCTCAATTTCCAATTCTTATGCAAGAGAGACTTGAATGCTATTGAGTGTGGAATATAAATATACAAATTGTACATAAAGGAAGTTGAAAATAAAAATTCAATATATTGTATTTGGTTATGAAAAAAATAGGAAGCGGAAAATAAAATTTCTCTCAATGCTTCACTGATCAATAGGAATCTAAACATAATTTTAAAATTTCATTATCATTTCATTTTCATTTATAAAAATCACGTTTTCTTTTCATTTCGATTGGATATTTCAAGTGTCCGCGCGCGCCTGGAGATTTCAACGCTTCACTTTCCACAGCCTTCAGCGTGCCAATGCTCTCATTTTTATGCCCGACGCGCAAGAACCTCGAGAGGAGACTCTCAAAAGACATATACAAAATATTTTAACTCAATGTTTCTGACGACTGAAAATTTCTATTAAATTCAATGTATATAATATGAAAACTAGAATTCTTTTCTAAACAGAATTCTTTAAGATAAATTTTAAAATTTGCTTTTTTATTTTTTTTATATTTTTTTATTTTTTATTTATTTATTTCCATATATTTGATTAAAAAATCCTTTCGTACAAAAGTACTAGAATAATGCTTAGAAAGAAAAATAAAAAAAAAATTTTTTTTATTTTTTTTTATACAATTCTCATGCGATTTTTTTATTTTTACTTGAAATTATAAATTTATAACCCACTTTTTGATGCGCGAATAATATTTCTCGCGCTTTAGTTTATCGTCATGCGAGCATCAGACAACGTTTTTCTTTCATCTCTTTCTCTTTGTCTCTCTCGCTCTCTCGCTCTTTGTATATATTCACCACGTGAGTGACTAGAGTTTACGACTCAGTAGCAAGTGAAATTACTTTTAGAATTTACATCTCGAGAGTATATTACAATCTCAACATGTGAAACGGAAGGGAGACAAGTCATTGTTTCACCGTATCAAAAGCGATTATATCAGACATTCGAGTGTGGAAACTGTATTCATTTTTTTTTTTTTTTTTTTTTTTTTTTTTTTTTTTTTGAAGCAAAAAACATTGAGAAATCACAACATTTTTACGTGTTAAAATCTATACTTTGTTTCATGCAATTTGCATAAAATTTGTATTTCTTCTGTTCTGTATATATTTATAGACGAAAATTTCTTAAATTCTTTCGAAAAATGTATTTTTACGTTTTACAGAATTGGAAATCATATTACTATATTAAAATTGTGATAATAAAAAATTTTTTATTTTATTTTTATAATATTTTTATTTTCTAAATATATTATAAATATTGTCAATTTCCAATGACTAAATTATTATTTTTCTCCGATAAATTCATTGGCAATCGTGAATTTCTTTAAAAAGCGAATGTAATAAGAAGCTTAATCAGCAGTAAATTGTACTCTATAAATCAATCAGTTACGAATCTTTCTCCTGTCCATTCATCAAATTAAGCTAATGTCGCACGTCACGAATTTCTCTTTATAGAATTCATGATCGCAATTTCATTAAAAGAAAAAGAAGAACAAAAAAGAAAAAAAAAGAAGAATTGATAGGAACACAAGAGGAGTTAAATGTATTTATTCGAATGTCTTTACGTTAACGAGACCAAACACTTTCGTTCATTTGGACATCATCCACTGTTCCGGTTCCAATTTTAGTGATGGCTAACACTTTCATTCGCGCCTCGGGCCATAAACGATAAATCATTCTCACTTTACTATTTTTTATTTTTATGTTTATAAATTTTTTTTAAATTCGAGAAAAATATTCCAATTTTACAGAGTTTTTGAGTTCAAGAATTTTTTCCGCACTGTTTTACCAATTTTGGTAAAAATTTAAAAAAAAAAAAAAATTGTTGCGAAAGTGTACTTTTCTTCACTGTTATTTTAATTCTTATTTTTGTGTTACTCACTATACGTTTGTGTGACTATTAATTATCGAATTAAAATGTCATCTTTTGGAGGCAAAACAGCATAAAAAATACTATTCCGTTATGCCAATGTCATTAACATCACATTCTAACTATTA